GTTATCCAGAGGCTGAGGGAATTTACAACCTTATCTAAAAAGAACCTATTCTACTGTAGGACAGTGCTAATGAAAAGAAACTAGGTAACTAGATAGTTAACTTCCATGTCATTTAGCTTCTTAGCAAGTCTAATTTAATTTCTCTCCTCTGCAATAACCCCCCAAATTAGGAAATAACACTATAGCATATAATTTCCCCAAAGTGAAAGATCTCTATTGATTCCATAAAGACTGGGCATTACACTCTTTCATGTGTCCATAACAATAGCAAGTCGTCGTCCTCCTCCTCCTTCTGTTTGTTGTTGTTTGTTCATTTTTTTTCCCCCCTATCCTGGGGATTGAACCCAGGAGCACTTTGCCCCTGAGCTGTATCCCCAGTCCTTTTTTAAAATTTTTTATTTTGAGACAGGGTCTCACTAAGTTGCTGAGAGTCTTGCTACATGGCTGAGGCTAGTCTTGAACTTGGGGTTATTCTACATCAGCCTCTTGAGTAGGTGCAATTATAGGTATGCACTCTCACACACAGCTCTGTAACTTCTTTTTTCATTTAAGAACCACTACTTCCTTGGTTCTTTTCATATTTTATTTCTGTCACTAGCACTAGCATTTAACTCTTTTCATGACACTTTTAATAAGGAAGCATACATTTTATCACTGTGCATATAACTGTATATATCTACAGGGAAAAACCAGCAGGTGGGGATCAAGTAGGCTAGACTCGCCCTGGCAACTTACCTATGGTTTCTCAATTCATATGTTCTACCTGTGATATGGTGGGCCCCCCTTTCTGCTCTCTCCTTCTGAGCTTATGACGTTTTCCAGTTGGTCTTCTTATCTCCACCCTTTTCCTATCCCAAAATAAATTCTGTTGAATGATTTGTCTAAAATGCAAAATTGACCTGTACTTCCTTAATTCAGTTGTTCCTCAATACCCAGTGTTGTACAAATTTTCCAGTTATATGCTACTGATGTTGGAAGAGCTTTTGTCAACTGGAGTTTCATAAGAAAATTAAATCCTAATGCCATTAGCCATTTATTGTATGTAATATATTAACTTGTTTGCTCTGTATCTAGAATGGTGCTATTATGTACAATCTTAAGGAAAACTGAGAAAAGTCACTAATCATTTTCTTTGTTCTGTGATTCAGACAAGTAACCCAGTTATGAAAGACTGGAGAAGTATCTGTTTTTCAAGAGGCCCAGGAGCATAGCTGGGAGCAACTTCAAGGGGAAAACCATAAAATTTCATTGAATCTAGGGTTTTATTTTTAATTTTTATGTGAATATTGCATTTTACTCTATAATATGTCCATGGTTAAAATTATATTTATTTATGTATTTATTTATTTTTGGTACTGGGGAATGAACCCAGGGACACTTTACCCCTGAGCTATATCCCCAGCATTCTTTTATTTTTTGAGACAAGGTCTTACTAAATTGCTTAGGGTTTCGCTGGTCTTGCTAAGGCTTTTCTTAAACTTGTGATCCTCCTGCCTTAGCCTCCAAAGTCACATCCCCAGTCCTTTTTATTTTATTTATTTAATTTCGAGACAGGGTCTCACTAAGTTACTTCTAACTTGCTGAGGCTGGCCTCAAATTTGTGATCCTCCTGTCTGAACCTCCCAAGTTACAGGTGTAAGCCAACGTGCTTACCTACAGGGCATTTTTTTTTTTTTTTTTTTTTAGAGACAGGGTCTCACTGGGTTGCTTAGTGCCTCACAGTTGCTGAGACTGGCTTTGAACTCATGATTTTCCTGTCTCAGCCTCCCAAGAGGCTGGAGTTATAGGCATGCACTCCCACGCCCAGTGTCTAGAGGGCATTTTATATGTATGTATATTATTCCATGTCCCTAGGAAAGTTATTCAAGATAACACAATAAAACGTCAGAGTCAAGGTACTAACCCATGTATGTCAACTCCAAAGCCCAAAATGAGTTTTCTACTGCTTGAAGCTAAGTTGAGAGAATTAAGAGCCTAGAAGTCCTTTTTTTTTTTTTTTGGTACTAGGGATTTGGGGATTGAACCCCAGGAGCTCTTAACCCTGAACTACAGCCCCAGCTCTTTTTTTTTTTTTTTTTTTTTTTGAGACACAGTCTCGTTAAGTTGCTGAGGCTGGCTTTAAATTTGTGATCCTCCTGTTTCAGTCTCATGAGCCACTGGGAATATAGGCATGTACCACTGCGCCTGGCTGAGCCTGAGTCTTTTTGGCCATTTCTAAGTTAATCTTCATAGGAATATAAGATTTTTTTTTCTTGGTCAAGTTACTATTTGGGTTATCATGCATAATTCTGCACTTTTGCAGAAGACAACCAACCATTATCCAAAAGAAAAATGAATAACAGTGCAATAGCAGGTATACTTTTCTAGTTGTTTTGGCTTGATAGATATTGATGTCTTGTTATTTCTTGAATATTCTCTAGCTGGTTATGGGAACTGGCTTTTCTTGGAAAGAGGAAGCTATTTTGCGAGGTGTGGTAGCACACACCTGTAATCCCAGTGACTAGGGAGGCTGAGACAGGAAGATCACAAGTTTGAGGCCAGTCTCAGCAATTTAGCGAGACCTGTCTCAAAATAAAATTAAATAAAAAGGTCTGGGGATACAGCTCAGTGGTACAAAGTGCCCTTGGATTCAGTTACCAATATCAAAAAGAAAATAATAAAAAGGAAGCCATCTTGTTATTGAAAACTTGCTTTTAGGTACACCCTACACAGATGACAGTTAGTAACTCTCTTTCTGTCTGCTTACCCAAGGCACTTGGAAAAACATAAATGCTCAAGCACCAAAGTATTAGAATTTGCTCTCTACCCCCTGTATGACATTTGCCTAGCTTTCTGGAATCCAGTTTCCATGAGGTATCCAGAGGGAAAGTCTGGAATGCACTGGCAATGGTCACATTCAACACAGAATTTCAAGGTAGTCTGGCTTTGTAGCTCCTCTGAGAAGCTGGGACAGTGAATGGAGCCCCAGTGACTTTTCCTTTTGCTTCTCAGTCTCAACACTAGAGATTAAACCCAGGGCCTGGAACATACTTGGCAAGTACTCTACCACAGAGCTACAGCCCCAGCCCTTTGTATTTTTTTATTTTAATTTTGAGACAGGGTCTTGCTAAGTTGCAGAGGCTGTACTTGACTTTCTATCCTCCTGCCTCAGCCTCCTGGGTGGCTGAAATTACAGGCATGTGCCACCACATCCAGCTTTGCAATAATTGTTTTGAATCATTCTTGACTCTTTCCTACCTAGTTCTTCCAGAAAGTTTGAAATTTGGGAATCTGAGGGCATCCCAAGAATGTTGTACAGAGCCCTGTGAAGTTCTTTTGTTTGTAACCTCCTGCCTCCTTTCTTGTTCTCTTTTCACCAGGATTACTACTACAGATTGAGACTGATACTGTTTACATGAAGTAAAAGAGGGAAAGAGAGTTAAACTGGGATGTCTGGAGTTTGGATCAGAAACCTGTTGAGTCAAAGGAGGAACTTAGCAGCAAAATGGAATGGAAATCATTTCCTAAGAGAGTAGACAAGTATGCAGGAAACACCTCTGCACCCCAAAGATAGGCACAGCTGCCACACAGTGACTATTAAAGGGAGGTTCAAAGTCATAAGTAAACAGCTGATTCTCTTGGTTCTTGGGCTGTTGCTGTTGGTGACAGGAAATCTTGTTCCCCAAGCTGCTGGCTTCCTGTTTTATTTTTACTTGTAGCAGATCAGAATGTCCATAACAAGGAGCAGTCTGTTCCAAAGGGTTCTACTCCCTTTTTGAGCCTGAAGGGCTAAAGGATCTTTTTTTTTTTTTTTTTTTTGGTCAGATAATATGTTGGTTTGCTTTTAGGATCTGTGATGGTTAGTTTGGTTTAAGCATTTTGTATCCACAATCAACATTTTTGGTGATGAGCTGGTGTTTTAAAATTTGATGTAAGTAAACCTCTATTTTGTTTTTTTAAAGAGGTGTTATAATATTGGGGGCTAGCATATGTTACCTTTTCATTTGAAGTGACTTTCCCTTGCATTAAAACCATTTGGCCCTTTTGATTTAGATTTGTAAGATAGAGAAATAGTTCCAGACCGGTGTGCTTTGACTGTTGTCATATTCACTGTGTTGAAATTGAAACCTTTTCCTAAACTTATAAAAATAGGAATATGGTAATCTAAAACAATAGCTCAGCATGAGCCTGCTGAGGGATTTCCTAGGGAAAGGGGCTCAGCTGACTGGCCAAGAAACAGTAACTAAAAGTTTCCAGGGTCTGCTCTAGTCACTTCCTGCTGTTTCTAGAGCCCTTTGGCCCAGGTATATTGAACTGGATAGGAGAGAGAGGGGGAGGCTTTGGGTAGAAGAGAAAGGATCAGAGAATCTTATAGCATAGTTGGCTTAGCATCTGTTTGACATATTGAACATTTAAAACTATCCTTGATATTCTTTCATTCTTTCAATTTACAAACTAAACTTTACTGCTGTTAATAGATACTGGCAGCTAGCATTTAGTTGTACATTAACAGTCATTCACCTAAGAGGAACTGGAGAAGCTATGTCCTGATATATATCAATGGAATCACTGTTGGCAGCTTGAATTCATTCTGGAGATTATCAGATGACGGAATCTCTTTTTTGATTCATATAATTGGTGGCCTAGAATCTGATCTGTCTTGGTTATGGACACCCCAAGGATAGAATCCATACCATCCGATGTTTGCTGAAAGGACTGTTTTCTGACCATGTCTCCTTGCCTCTGGGTAATCTTGTTGGTTGAAACAGTAGTTGTAACTGTGTACCTCAGCCAGCAGTTACTAGTTCAAAATATATAAGTTTATCTGGTAAACTTACATAGCAAGTCTTCTAGTAGCAAGACCTTAAAAGAAATGGGAGGGGTAAAAGAGAAAAAGGTGGGGGGTAAAGATCTTTAAAAGCTGTTTTTAGATCAGAGCAAGACAGAAAGAAAGAAAGACACAGCCCTAGTGTGCCTGGAATTTGTGGTTGAGTAATACTTTCCTGTTATTTCTGTTTTAGGTTGTTTTTCATCATTCAGAACATTGCCTGAAGCAGGTCCACCATGCCGTTAGTAACGAGAAACATCGAGCCAAGGCACCTGTGCCGTCAGACGTTGCCTAGCGTTAGAAGCGAGCTGGAATGCATGACCAACATCACCCTGGCAAATGTCATCCGACAGCTGGGCAGCCTGAGTGAGTGCCTCCGAGAGCCTGTGCTTTGCCCTCAGGGGTCGTTGGTGCTCTTTATTTAGTTTCCTTCTCCTCCCATGTTCCTATTTCTCCCCCATCTGCCTTCCCTAGGTAATGTGTATTCCATCCCCCCCCCCCAAAGAGAGGCTCCTTTTTTGGTACAGATTCTTCCCCCCATCCTTTCTCCATCTACCACCACCCTCTAGGTTCCCTCCCCCTCCCCCTCCACCTGCTTCAAAAGAAATCTGTGGGAAGGGTAGCAGGAAGAGCTGCAGCAGAAACTGCAGATGGAATGACAGAGCAGAATTCTCTGTGTGTAAAGTGGGAGGTTCACAGAGCAGTGTCTTGGGTCGGGGAATGTGCCTCTAATTACAGGAGCTGTTCGATGTAGCCTGACTTTGTTGAAGCCTCAAATGTGCCAATAGCCTTTATCTATCCAACACCCTCCCCCACTTTCTTTCCAAAGAGGAGTAAAGCAAACATGTACTCAGAGAAATTCTGGCTGACTAGTCTACCCTGGTACACATTTAATTGTGCTGCAAGCCCCCAGGTCCAAGTTCAGGGTACAAATTACTTCTGCAGTCTCTAGGGTTTTGGGAGTTTTACAAGCTGTGTGAACATACAGTGACACAAATAGTAGCTGGAGCCATTCTTCTCTAGGAGGAAGATGGGGGTTAGCCCAGTCTGTTTTGGAGCTGAGGGAAAGCCAGTTCAATTACAATTTTGTTTTTTAATTGGTAAGAATGAATGAGACTGCCATGGGTGGGAGTACTTGGGGTACATGCACGTGGTTTGGGTTTCATTCTGAATCAAGCTGACTTTATTTGCTTGAAGCCGAGGTATGGGAAGGGCAGATGCTTGGGTTGGCTCTGCATTTGTCTACTGCCACCCCAGGTCCCATAAGCACCTCTGTCAAAATGCCATTTTAGTGTGATATTCCTTAGCAAAGGCAACTTGGTGTGAATTATTTCAGATACTTGCCCTCTTGTCGCATCACTGTCCTTAGTGAAGGGAGAGGAATATCAAGAAAGCCTGCATTCCCCCAGATAGTAATAGGTCCTGCCTTTAAAATAGGAGCCTGAGAAGATAGAGCTCTGTTACCAAATGATGTATGGAGTCTGAGATTCCTAAGCCTTCACCTAGCTCAGGGACCATCTCAATTGATCCAGGGCTTAGGGAAACCTGGATGGGGTGTCACAAAGAAATGAAACCCTGCCAGTGCCTGTCTTTTACAAAGGAACATTGACAGTAGCTCAACAGCAGTGCTGCTGACAAAGAAGCACATGAAAGCTGTAGAGAGCCTCACTGCTTCTTAAAAGCATCATTTCTGCTTCTGTCACCCTGAGAAGGCCAAATGGGTGGAAGTCAATCACATACTAGTTCGTTCTCCATAGGACAAAGAACATCCAGCTAATGATGCTTCTTATTCACACTCAGCAGGAGTTATGCTCCCTCTAAGGTGTTTTTCCAGGATAGTGTTGATGGATGCCATTGAAGACCCTCCCACTTGTGATCAGACCACACCTATGTTGAGGAAGCCCATCTAAGGGACAAGGTTCTGTTTGTGCCTAAGGAAACAAGATTTCTAACTGACCCTTTATTCATCCAGTTAATGCCGGGTTTCAGTTCTTGCGATTAAAAGGCTCAGGGGTTACTCCAGTTAAACCGGGCTAACTAGGCTGCACAAAATAACCACTTAAGAGACACAAATACCTTTTTCTTTGGGGTCGCTGTGACGACTCCTCTGACATTAAGGGTCCACAGAAAAAGTGAGCGAGAGCATGCGCTGACCCCTTTTATTGAGGAGAAGCTGTTCAAATGAGGCAAGGGGTCAGGTTTCAGGGGGCTGAGTCTATCTTCATGATGTCCACTGTCAGCAGGTTGACTGACACCTGGGTAGGCCACATCCAAGGGCACAGTAAGAGAAGGGGACACACACAAGGCACTTCCATGGAAGATTCTATCCTAAACAGGGCAAGGGGTTATATTACAAAGGAACAGGTGAGCATAGCTTCACCCGTGGGGCTGTAGCAAGACACACGAGACACTGACCCTCGAACCCAAGAAGGTGGGGAAAGCTGTGCCACATTTCTGTGACTGAGCGCCTCAGCACCCAGCCAGGGAGTGTGACTCAGTCACGTGTAAGGTTGGTCTCCCACATGTAAACATGTATTGTATATATTTTGTGTGCTGGATGCTAAGAAGATACAGTGATAAGAAATGGTCTCTGGGCTGGGGATGTGGCTCAAGCGGTAGCACACCCGCCTGGCATGCGTGCCGGGGCGCTGGGTTCGATCCTCAGTAACACATAAAAATAAAATAAAGATGTTGTGTCCATCGAAAACTAAAAAATAAATATTAAAAAATTTTTCTCTCTCTCTCTCTCTCAAAAAAAAATGAAAGAAAGAAAAAGAAATGGTCTCTGCCTTCCAGGAGTTCATATCTACCAGCAGAAATGGAAATAAGTAATTCTTCAGGGGAACATGAGGAGAAGGAGAGAAAGGAACTCAAATTTCTTGATTGTCTACTTTTGCCAGTTTTTTATTTTTTAATATATATTTTTTAGTTGTAGATAGACAAAATATGTTTGTTTATTTATTTATTTATTTTTATGTGGTCCTGAGGCTTGAACCCAGTGCTTCACACATGCTAAGCAAGCGCTCTACCACTGAGCTACAACTCCAGCCCCTGCTTTTGCCAGGATCTTGATATAATCTCATTTAATCTTTTCAATAGTTCTATAAGGGTAGAAAGTTCTAGTCTCCTTTTTCAAATGAAGAAATAAAAGCTCCAAAAAGTACAGTAACTTCTTTAAAGAGACACAGCCAGTAAGAGGCAAAATCAATATTTACTTATTTTTTGGTGTTAGGGATAGAACCCAGGGCCTTGTGTATGCTAAGCATTCACTGTACCACTGAGCTACACTCTCGGCCTCAAAAGTCAATATTTAAACTTAGACTTCTTAAGAATTTCTTTGCTCAGTCCTTTACTGTGTCTTTGGCAACAATGCTCTAGTTCAGACCTTCATTGACTTTGACCTAAACTATCGATGTAGTTTACTTTTGGCCTCCTTTTTAACCCCCTTTTATCTGTTCCTTATATTTCTGCCAGAGTGATCTACCTAAAATGCAGTTTTTACTCCTTCCTTCCTTCCTTCCTTCCTTCCTTCCTTCCTTCCTTCCTTCCTTCCTCCCTCCCTCCCTTCCTTCCTTCCCTCCCTCCCTCCCTCCCTCCCTTCCTTCCCTTCCTTCCCTCCCTCCCTCCCTTCCTTCCCTTCCTTCCCTTTCTTCCCTTTCTTTCATACTAAAGATTGAACCCAGGAGTGCTGAGCACATCCCCAGCCCTTTTTTTTTTTTTTTTATTTTTTATTTTAAGACAGGGCCTCACTAAGTTGCTCAGAGCCTCGATAAGTTACTGGGGCTGGCTTTGAACTCGCTATCCTCCTGCCTCAGCCTCTGAGCTGCTGGGATTATAGGCATGTGACATCATTTCCAGCCAGTTCTCACTTTTTACTTTTATAATTCTGAACTTTTGATTTGAGGAGGGTACAGGGAATGAACTGAGGGGTGCTTTACCAACTGAACTACATTCTCTCTTTTTTTTTCCCCACAGAGGGTCTTGCTAAATTGCTAAGGCTGGCCTTCAACTTGATTGAGATCCTCCTACCTCAGCCTCCCAAGTCACTGGGTTATAGGCGTGTGCCACCATGCCCAGCTAATACAAATCTTAACCATTTATCTCGGTCTTCACTATGGAATAATCTAACTTCCTTGGCCTAGCATTTAAGATTCTCTTTTAAGACCTGTCTTCCTTTCTAGTCCCATTTTCTACAATTTGTCATCCCCTATTTTACAGTCTTTTAAATTCATATTTCCATGCTGTGCTGTTGCTGGACAGCCCTTAGCTTCTTTTTCTTCCCGGTTTCATGGAGCTGATCCTTCAAGGCCAGATCAGGAATCTCCTTCAGATTGGGATAAGTGCTCCTCTGAGTTCCCATTACATGTCTGTATTATTACCTGCCACATTATATTGCAAATCAACTGTCTTTTATGCTAAATTAAAAGTTCTTTGAAAGCAGAAATCCTGTTGTTTGTCCTTGAACTTCTGTGTCGACCTTATACAGTACCTGGCACCCAGTAGAAGTTGTTCATTAAATGTTGAATGATTCATGTCTGTATGTTCCCCACGATTCAGTGCTGTTGGTATACAGAGAATACAGGGGAGGAAGAAATCCTCTATGAGAAGTGGGAGTACAGGTGGGGAAAGGAAGTCTTCTTAGAAGAGGTTACATTTAAAGTGGGCTTAGGATTTCATCCAGCAGAGAGGGGCTCAGAGACAGATTCTGATTTTGTCCTCATGCATTGTACGTTAGCCAGAACTGGTTCTTCTGATAGTGAAACTCTGGTTATGGAATAGATAAAGCAAAAACTGAAAATCCTGGGCTGGGAATGTGGCTCAGTGCTAGAACCCTTGCCTGGCATGTGCAAGGCCCTGAATTTGATCCCTAACACACATATATATGAAAAGAAACTAAAAATTCCTCTGGGCATAGTAGCACATGCCTGTAATCCCAGCTACTTGGGAGGCTGAGTCAGGAGGATCATGAGTTAGAAGCCAACCTGGGCAATTTAGTGAGACCCTGTCTCAAAATAATATGAAAAAGCCTGGGGATGTAACTCAGTGGTAGAGCATTGCCTAGCATGTGTCTTGGGTTTAATCCCCTGTACTGGGAAGGGATTGGGGGACTTTAAAAGTCCAGAGCCACAGATTTCTTCATGATAGCACATTTAGAATTCTTATTTTCCTTCAGTATGGTGAGATTGCATTCACGTTTTAGCTTGCCATGTTTTAGAAACTAAATGCACAGTCAGCCATTCAGCACTTTGGATTGGTATTGTGGCTATTTAGGAGACTGGAACCCCTACTTGGGTCATTAGGGAATCATGCTCTGATACTGGGTTTTCTCACTGGTGGCATTCAGGAGCTTTAGGACTCCCACTCAGACTTCAATAAGAACAGCTGCACATTTTTAAAAATTGGTTTTACCTGTTCTACTTCCACGTAACATTTTGTTTGAAGAGTTCTGCTAAAGGGGGAAAAAAAAAAACTATCAAACTACTCTGAAATCTTTTGTAAAATGTCCCATCAGGACATTCTGTTAAGGATGTTGTGGTGGGTCTTGGGTCTGTGTTGGTAGTCTGAATGGGCCATTGAGTCTCCAACTGGAATTATGTTTCAAATTTCCTCCATGTTTAAAACAGGATATTTAGATTTGGGGGGGGGGGGGTACCAGGGATTGAACTTGGGCTCTGAACCACTGGCCACATCCCCAGACCTGTTTGGTATTTTATTTAAAGACAGTATCTCACTGAGTTGCTGAGGCTAGATTTGAACTCAAGATCTTCCTGCCTCTGCCTCCTGAACTGCTGGGATTACAGGCATGTGCCACAGTGCCCAGCTGATATTTTATTTATTTAAAAAAAAAAAAAAAACTCGTTTTTTATTTTTCATTTTGAGTCGGGATCTCTCTAAGTTGTTTGGGGCCTTGTTATGTTGCTGAGTCTGGCTTTGAACCTGTGATCCTCCTGCCTCAACCTCCAAAACCACTGGGATTAAAGTCATGTGCCTCTGCACCCAGTTTAAGGATTATTCTTAACACAGAAGTCGAAAAAACTCATTTAAAACTGAGGTAGTGTCACTCCTCTTCATAAAAACCTCTAGCAATTACCCATTTTAGTTCTAATAAAATTAAAATTCCTAAAAATGCACTGCAAGGCTCCTGGTGACTTGGGGCCTCTCTAACTTCCTCTCCTCCTACACTAGTCCTTTCTCAGTGGGCATCAGGCACACTGGACTCATCACTAGGCAAAACCTTGTCCTAGGTACTTTGCCTTGCTATTACTTCTTTTAAAACCTCTTTCAGATCCCACCTCAGTGGAGCATGCTCTGAAGTTGTCTAAAATCGCAATATGGCTTTCTTCCCCCTTAACTTTTGTTCCCTCTACCCTGACCATCTCTTTTTCAAACAGCTGTACTGAAGTATAATTGCAAAATAACCACTGTATTTAGCATGTGTAATTTGTAAGTTTTGACAAATTTATAACCTCTGAAACTATCATCATAATCAATAAAACGAGCATTGTCACCAATAGGAAAAAAAAAAGGCTTCACTATCACTGCCCATGCTGGTCTTCAACTTGTGAGCTGCCTCAGCATCTTAAGAAGTTGGGTCTGCAGGCATGTACTCTATTGCTGGCTTAGATGATTACCCTCTTTAAAGTCCTCTAACCTGGGCTGGGGTTGTAGCTCAGTGGTAGAGCGCTTGCCTAGCATGTGTGAGGCACTGGGTTTGATCCTCAGCACCATGTAAAAATAAATAAATCAAATGTATTGTGTTCATCTACAACTAAAAAAAAAAAAAAAAAGTTTTCTAGGGGATGGGGTTGTGGCTCAGTGGCAGAACACTTACCTAGCTTGTGTGAGGCACTGAGTTCGATCCTCAGCACCACATATAAATAAATAAAAAATAAAGGTGCATCAACAACTAAAACATTTAAAAAAAAAAAGTCCTCTAACATGGCTTAGCAATCTAAAGAATCTCTTTATAACAACTTAGAATTTTAGCTCATTTAATCCTTACGGTAACTTTTAGCTCATTTAATCCTTACGATAATAACTACATTTACTTATAGTAACTACATTTACTTATACTTATAGTAAATGTAGTTATTATCCCCAGTTTATAGATGAGACTAAGGCTGAGAGACTGTGACTTGCAAAGGAGTACACAGGTACAAATAGAGCTGAGACATAAACTCAGGTCTTCTAACTTGAAGTCTGCGTTTTTGTCCTATAGTACAGTTCTGAGTTTGTCAAGGTCCTGAACTGATGTGACAGTGGGAAAACATTTACCCTACCTCATCTCATTCCTCTTAAAAAAGAGATCTCGTGTTACCAGTTCTTTACATTAGGGGTTTTCTGTCTGTAAGCTTCTAAACACACTTTCTTTTCCTTTTTTTTTTTTTTTGGTACTAGGGATTGAACCCAGGGGTGCTTTAGCTTGAAACTACATTCCCAGTTCTTTTTATTGTATTTGAAACAGGATTTTGCCCTGAACTTGTGATCCTTCTGCATCAGTTTCCTGAGTCATTGGAACTACTGGCACATACCACTGTTCCTAGTGCAAACACAGTTTCCTTCCTTCTTTCTGTCCTTCCTTCCTTCTGTACTGGGGATTGAACCCAGGTGCTTAATCACTGAGCCACATCTCTAGCCCTTTTTATTTTTTATTTTGAGATAGGGTCTCTCCAAATTGCTGAGGGCCTCATTAGTTGCTTAGGCTAGCTTCAAACTTGAATCCTTTCTGCCCCAACCTCCTGAGTCACTGGGATTACAGGTGTGTGCCATTGCAGCCAGCTCCAAACTCAATTTTCTGTTACCTGGTAGAGCATGATATAGAATCATTTGTGTAGGAACATAGTCATGTTATGGACAGGAGCAAATAGGATCCTCCACTTGCAGAGTAGAAATGTGGTTTGTTAACCAATTTGACTCCTTTGAGCTCAGGAGCTTTTCATAGTGTTTAAAATCACGGGACTATTCAGTATGCAAGGCCTTGCTCCTTCCCAGATTAGAAACTCCTTATTGACTTAAATTTACTAGCAATTCGAAATAAGCTGTTGATTTATCTTATCCTTACTTTGCAGGTTATACTGGAAAGGTAAGCTGCACTCCACTCTAAAGGTGCAGTTTTTGCCTTTCAGACTAATCCCCCCACCCCACCCCAATAAGGACTAAGCATTAATGTAGTTTAGAAGCTAAACATGACAGCCTACTTTAAATAGTTCTCAAAAAAATTATCTTTGGATTGGGCATAGTCATTTATGCCTGCCTTCACCTTGCAAGTAAGAAACTCAGATGGTATATTTATTCATATGTACTACTTCTCATTCCTAGTAAGAATGTGGCCTTGTGGCTTGGAATGACAATATGGAAATAGTGTCAAATTACTGTTATGTTTCTTTGGCTGCAAATTCTCCTTGCATTCCAGGGTTGAAAATACAGAACTCTTTTCTTTTTCTAAAAAACAAAACATTGTAGAAAGAGTCCACTGGTATGTTGTTTTTCAGGGAGGGTTGAAAGCTTTAGCTTTACACTTGTTTCCTGAGATGTAGTGGTTTTGGTGGTAGTGGTTGTTGTTTGGTGTGTGGGTATGTGTGTGTGTGTGTGTGATTGGAGTTTTAATCCAGGGGCACTTTACCACGATCATCTTTTTTTTGAGAGAGAGAGAGAGAGAGAGAGAGGGTCTCACTAAGTTGCTGAGGCTAACTTCAAACTTGCAGTCCTCCTGCCTCAGCCTCCTGAGTTGTTGGGATTACAGGTGTGTACCACTGTACATGGCCTGAGATATAGATTTGAAGGGTTTTAACCTACAGCAGAGACTTTGAAAGTTGCAGGTTATAGAACCTAAAGTAACCTTTTCACCCCTTAGAAGAACTTATGTGTCTCTGTTGTAGAATGATGGTAAGTTCAAGGCCGCTTGGAGATAACACAAATCATCTTGGTTGTTCAATGGATTTTTTTTTTGTACTAGAGATTTAACCCAGAAGTCACATTCCCCAACCCTTTTTATTTTTTGAGACAGGGTCTCACTAAGTTGTTTAGGGTCTTGCTAAGTTGCTGAGGCTGGTTTTGAACCTGTGATCCTCCTGCTGCTGCTTCCTGAGTTGCTAGGATTACATGCATGTGCCACCATGCCTAGCTGTTCAATGAACTTTTGAAGCTCCAGTGAGAAAGTAATTTATTATTTATCACATTAATTGTGGGCACCTTATAGGTTCTCTTAATTCCCAATCTGTTTTTTTTTTTTAAATATTTTTTAGTTGTAGATAGACACAATACCTTTATTTTATTTTTATGTGGTGCTGGGGATCAAACCCAGTGCCTCACACATGCTAGGCAAGCACTCTACCACTGAGCCACAACCCCAACCCCTCCCAATCTGTTTTTTGGAACAAGTTGCTTTACAGATAGCAAGGGGCTGAGTGCTACAGATAAATGTGTAGACATATTGTCTTTCAGGATTAATTTTTGCATTACACCTATTGATTTTATTCAGCCTGCTTTGAGTGTCATTACCGTTCAGAGAGTTTGCTAAGAAGGCTCTATTAGTTATAAAGCATATTCAGACCGCCCAAACTATGGAGACTATATCTCTAGATCTAAGGGGAAGCATATGTATGTGTGTATGTGTTAGAGGAGTGGGGAATACAATTTTTAGTAGGCAGGTTTTGTGTCCATTTATGACATTCCTAAGCACTAGTGACTTGGTTCCTTTGGTCTTTACAGGTAAATACGCAGAGGACATTTTTGGAGAGCTCTTTACTCAGGCAAATACCTTTGCCTCTCGAGTAAGCACCCTTGCTGAGAGGGTTGACCGACTACAAGTTAAAGTCACTCAGCTGGATCCCAAAGAAGAAGAAGGTAAGGAAGCTGAGCTCAGCATTTACAGGCTCTTGTGAGCAGTTTCTTAGAATTTCTTCTCCTGATTTATAAAAAAGCAAGGAGAAAAATCAGAGATCTATGGAGATATGTTTTGAAATGACGTAAACCTGGGAGGTGTAAAGAAACCTTTTTAGTCCTACCACATACTTCCTTTCTCCACATACTTCCCCATATACTTCCTTTCTCCCATTCCCCCAATTCCTTCATTCTCAAATTTCCTTTCATATTTTGCTACCATTAAAGTACTTGGAAGATTCATTCCACCTAAAAAGAGAGTCTGCTAGATTTGGCTACATAGTAAACCTCTATGTTGCCTCATTTTGTTCAGTTGTGAAATGGCTGGGCTGCTGACAGTCTTGTGGGGCTTCCCCAGAGGAGGAAGGGAAAAAAAAACCTGGCTGCAGACAGCTGCAGCCAAGAAATGCAGCAGCTGAGGCCTCTCTGACTGGTGTGACTCAATGTTTGTTCAAATAGCCTGTCGTCCATTTTCTAACGCCTTCCATCTTCTCTCAGTATCACTACAAGGAATCAACACCCGAAAGGCTTTCAGAAGCTCTACCATTCAAGACCAGAAGCTTTTTGACAGAAATTCTCTCCCAGTGCCTGTCTTGGAAACATACAATACCTGTGATACTCCGCCCCCTCTCAACAATCTCACCCCTTACAGGTAACAACTGCCTAGCCTTTCCTTTTTTTGGTCTATAGTTAACAACACTAGATTGTCTAAAATATCTGAAGATGTTGTTACATCAGGGGAGTTTACCAAAAGCTTACTACCTACACAGGAGTTGCTTGAGCAACAGAAGCTAAAGAGCCTTAAAAGCTGTTGTCACTATTGTTTGGTTTCTGAAATTCATACTGAATATAATACATATTGAAAGTTTGGTGTAACATTGCATGCTGCAGAGTTTAATTTGGTGTAAGCTAGGTTCATCTTGGGTTTCATCCAAGGAATTTAGTTATTATAGAACCAAAAGGACTTTGTTACAAGGCGGTCCTACAGCATGGATCCCAGGGGCAACCTTCTAGAAAGGCTCCCACACTTATTTGGAAACCACTAGATTACCAGATGTTTGGGTGTGTTCATGGAGCCAGCTTCATGAACTGGCTGCTCTGGGCCCAGAGTGGTCGTTCCAAAGCTTAAGGAGTAATTGGCATTCTTCCAAGTTATTGTCATTCACTTTGTTTTGAACATTCTTTCTGTATTTCTTCTGCAAGGACCTACCCTTCTGTGGCTGGACTTGAAAAAGAAGGTAGCCTTAAAGACAATTTAAAAGCACCTCCTTTCCACTAGTGGTTTGGTAGTACAAAACCTCTGAATGGGGCAGAAAGTGAATATTTATCTTGCTTGTATCCTTAAATATCTTTGGAACAGGTAAAAAGTAATTACAGATAGCTGGAGGCAGATGTTTTCTTTATTTTATTTTTATGTGGTGCTGAGAATCGAACCCAGGGCCTCACACGAGCTAGCCGAGCACTCTACCGCTGAGTCACAACTCCAGTCCCTGGAGGCAGATGTTTTCTATCAGACATGAATACACTGCAAAGCAGTGTGTGTGTGTGTGTGTGTGTGTGTGTGTGTGTGTACGCGCGCCCGCATTGTGTGTGTGTGTCCCTCCCTGTGAAATTCAAGGATATCATTCCGATTCAGGGACCATGGAATGGGAACTTGGTAGTTTCTCACACAGAGAAAGTACAAAGCATCCACCCTTTTTTATTACTGTATGAAATTATGCTTGCCCCTTGGCTTTTAAAGGGACTAGTAAACATAGCAGGCCAGAACTTTGACTTAATAGTCTCCATCCTGTAGTCTAGTTGGCTGTGGGCAGAGAAGTATGGGACAGAAAGGGGTCACACACCTGATAACATTATGGGGAATGTTATACAGGTGATTTGTGTGGTAAGATAGTTTTATTGTTCAGATAATTTTATTTTTCAGGGAATGGTATTTTCTTTGTAAACATACAATATCAGAATTAGCATCTCCTCTTATTTTTCTGGACTTGACCTAAGAGAAACAACAGTAGGATATCCAACTCTGAACAAGATTTAATATGAAAATTATTAGTGTTTGATTTGGAAACATTTTCTCTGTGTTGTGATAGGATTGGAAGGTAGAAAATAAAGTTGCCTTTCCAATACTTTTTTGTTCAGAATAATGTTAAAAATTGTTTACCCTGAAGCACGTGCTTTCTGGACAGTGAGGGGCTTAGCCATGCCAAAGTGATTATTAAGTCTGGCAGATGGCACCTTATATTGACATTCAATAGCTCACTATGTAGCACTGTCATAGTCATTAAGAGATGGTGAGTAAACCTTGTAGTCTTAAAACTGCTGGCCATCTGTTCTCATTGAGGCCCCCTTGTGGTGGGGGTGAGGGTGGATGCTGCACTATTGTAGAAGGAAGCAAAAAGGTGCAGTGCAGTGCAGTGGTTATCTGTGTATAGAGAAATAACAGCTGTATACACATACATACATTTGTTTATATTTGTGTACACATGTAAACCTGTTTATAAGTGTACAGGTTTCAGGTGGGTTGAAGGCCACTGAAGAGTCCTGGGGAATTGGTGGGGAAAGAGGAAACAGTAACAGAAATCCCCTTGGATGTGCCAGCATATCCAGATGTCCTCAGGGAGCTGTCTGTGGCTATGCAGATCATTGAAAATGATCAGAATCTCTGCTGCTGTAGTTTATTCTTGCCCTAACCATGCCAATTCCTCTATCAGGAATTGAAAGTAATGAGAAAGTTCTTAAGAAGTAGAGAGGTGCCATTCAGGGGCATTGAAATGCAGGTAAGGAGAGGAAATATGCAATCGATTTGAATGACTACTTGATTCCTTGGTGTAAAAACTGCTAACTGGTAGGTGTTTGGAATATTGGATTTGGTTGGGAGCTCATCTGTCTACTGACAGCTACTTGTCTTCATTTCTATCCCAGGGATGATGGAAAAGAGGCACTCAAATTCTACACCGACCCTTCATACTTCTTTGATCTTTGGAAGGAGAAGATGCTGCAGGACACCAAGGATATCATGAAAGAGAAGAGAAAGCATAGGGTGAGGGGAAAGGGGCCTCTGTTCTACACATCAGTAGGCACGATTGTGAAGGGGGGATAAAAAGGAAGCCAGTCTTATGTGAAGTAATTCCGAATGGCTGCTTGCTTGGATGCCAGGTGAAACTCTTAAAAAAAATGTGTCCACACCAAGCACCACCAAGATGAAAGTATAAATCACACCAAAAATGTGTTTGTTCCCCCTGGTGCTATTAACAATTGAGTATATTCAGGCTGAGTTTTAGAAATTGACTTTTCTATTCACCATTTATTTCTCTTGCAATTTGCACCTGACTCTGCTGGACACTTGAGCTAGGCTAGTCCCTTCCCCGCCAGTTTTGCAGCTCATTTCTCAGAGACTAGCACAGGTTCTGCAGTGTTTGATTTGCAACAGGAGCAGTTTAACACCTTCGTTCCTGCTTGGTTAGCACCAGGGGAGTGGATATGTCTGGTTTGTGGATATGCCCCTTTCTCCTAGGCTCCTGGTGCTATGTGTGTGACCTACCAGTTTTGACCTCACAATCCCATTAGCATGGCTGCCAGCAGGCCCAAGAGAATACCATAGGCTAGTCCAGCTTCACAGGATGGAAAATTCTTCCATGGTTTTTGTTTTGTTTTGTCTTTTAAATATTTCCTTATATCTGTCCCAGATATCTGCAGCTGTCATTCCTTCTCATCTCTCTTAACTGTTCTTTGTGGCAGAGCAAGTAACAAATGACTGGTTACTAACTTCCTAACAATTAGAGCTTTTCAAAGACATGAAAGAGTTACTCAGCAAGGTAGTAGTCTTCCCATTGCTAGAGGTGTTTAAATGTGGGACTGAGCAAGTGTTTTGCCTAGAAGGTGGTTTGAATTAGACGACCTCTAGGTCACCCCAGACCTAGTAATTCTATAAATTCTGCTCTTATCATATGTTGTTGTCTAGATAAATCATCTCTTAAATATACATCTTTGAAGATGGGTGGAATTTTAATGAAGAACTTTGGAAAATAGTTCCCAAAGATTTTTGTTGTTGTTGTTCCTTTTCATTATAGAAAGAAAAGAAAGATAATCCAAATCGAGGGAATGTAAACCCACGTAAAATCAAGACACGTAAAGAAGAATGGGAGAAAATGAAGATGGGACAAGAATTTGTGGAGTCCAAAGAAAAGCTGGGGCCTTCTGGGTAAGTGAAGCATTCTTTGAAGGATCTGGGGACCTGGGGACAATAGTCTGACAGCTCTGGCATGACACCTTTTACACCCCCTGAAATCTGGCTTTGTTGTTTTGATCAATACCGCTATTAATCAGCTACTTTTAAGTGCATCCATCTGGTGATTAAAATTTGCTAAATAAATCAAAGAGACTCAGCAATTTAAATGAGGTAACTGGAGTGGTCTGGTAAAGAAGGCCCATGGCTTCTAGTGCCCCTACTCTGCCAGACACTAGTATGTCTGAGGGTCTCAGAGGAAAAAATTGGAAGGTGAAGAAAAGTGGTCTTGGGAGCCTTCTGCCTCCAGAGCATGGATTTGAAGGTCATACCTAAGAGCCAAGCATTTTGAGGGAGTGAGGAAGGCCAGGCAAAGAAATTGTACACATCACCAGAGCAACTTTTCAGCCAGCTTTTGTCAGTCTTAGAGAGAAGCTAGCCAAGGAGTTGAATGCAGATTTCAGAGTCAGTGTGGGAAAGGTTGCTTGGCCACTGTGGAGGCTATATATCTCTGTGGAGAAATGGGAGATGTCAGTCTGACCCCATTTCCCAATACCAAATCACATTGGAAGTTTAAAGGGGAAAAATGGTGTTTAAACTTGGTTTGATGTTCTTATCCTGTTGTCTGACCTATATGACATTCAAAGCCAAGTCACCAGGACTGTTTGGCATGAATGTTGCTCTGGTTTTTCCTCTAAATACATTGTATCCAGGTTGTCAGAGAACCATGCCAGCCCATGCAGGGTGTCTAGGATTGATAAAAGGAAAGAGTTAAGTTGTTCTTGCTTTTAGAAATAACTCTACCATGAAAATCTTGACTTTTAAAAATCTTGACACTTCTGACACTTGTTCTTCCTGGATTAAGAGATTTGTTTTAAAGAGTGATGAAGATAGTGAGAAGAAAGGTGAACCTTTCTTTCTTTCTTTCAGCCCTGAGGGTGTCTTCATTACCTTCACCTCCCAATAAAAGGGGCTATTTTGTTCTGTGGTCCCATCCTCTTCAGACAGGCATTTATCATAGGTTCAGTGACTTTAAGGCCAGAAGCTTATATGTTCATAATGTCAGCTATTATGTGTGTCTTTTTTTGTGGGATGGGGGTGGTGAATATGAGGAGTTTGCCTCTCATTTTCTCATTGTCCAGGAGTTTGGAGTTGGGCTGCTGGCTAGTCTATCTGGACATGTTTGTTGGTGAACCTATCAAGAGATGTGCCCAGCCTACACAGCTCCAGGCTTTGGGGATTTTCCACATCAGAGCATCATTTGATTCAGTTAGTTCCCTCCAATTCTGTTCTCCCTGGGATCTGTTTTTGATGAGGTCTTTAGAACCCAACAATGGTGGAAAGAAGGGGGAAGTGGGCAGAGCAGAACAGATTTTGCTAGCTGACACTTGGTATATTTGTGCTTGTATGGAAACTTATTGCTTGGTGTATTTATGCTTTTTTTGAAGTTTTGATGTTGTTCACCCAGAGCAAATTCCCCCAAGGCCAAGTTCTCGGAGGCAGATTTTCATGAGGCAAGCTCTAACACCCTACTTTTAATCGGCAGCTCATTTTGTTTGATAAGAGACCTGGCAGAGAGATCTCATTTACTACCACACAGCAACCTGCATTCAGCCTTGGCTTGATTTTGCAATCAAATGCCTCCTTGGCCTTTGAGTACTCTAGAGGCTTGCCGACCTCAAAATCAGGCTGCATGCCAGTCACATGTTTGTAGCTCACTGGCCTGTAGGCTTGCCTTCACTCCTTGCACAAGTCTGGCTTTGGGATTCAGGTTTGGCTGCACCTAACACTCAGAAGAGAATGTAAAAGATTGGGGTTTGACAAAGCTGGCACTGGGAAAGAAACAACAGGGTTTTGGTAATCTGGATTGAATCCCGTTATTACAAACAGTCCATCAGAAATGACTGGGATATACATAACAGTACAATATTTAGTCCTTAAATAAAATTTCAGGAAAATCTGCTTATTTCTCCCTAATAGCTTTTGTATCAAATGCATTTTGTGGACTTTTTTAAGAAAATACCACTCAGGCTCTTTAAATGATAGTTTTTGGCATTGGGTTTATTGTCAGGTATTCACCCGCCTTAGTGTACCAGAATGGCAGCATTGGCTCTATTGAAAATGTGGATGTAGGCAACTATCCACCACCACCACAGTCAGACTCCGCCTCTTCACCTTCACCTTCTTTCTCTGAGGAGAACTTGCCTCCCCCACCAGCAGAATTCAGGTAAATGGTGGAACCTCTCCCCTCTAAGAACATCCAAAAACAAAATAAAAGTTCAAAATCTGGGCCAGGACTACTAAAATAAGTTCAGGCAAGACAGCCTGTATAATAGAAGTAGTTATCATTTATCAGATGTTTGCAAGGTGCTAGGCATTGTGCTACACACCATTTATGTTGCTTAATGCCCACAAGAGTCCTTTTGAGTTAGGCATTCTTATTCCCATGTTACAGATGAGTAAAATGTAAGGCAGACAATGAATTTCCCTAAAGTCACACAGCCAAAAAGAGACAGAGCCACAATTGACCACTCTAATTCCCAAGACTGTGTTCTTAACTATTCAATATTCTGTCTATACCTGAACAAATAGAAGTCACCAATTGTTCTTGTTTTTTTCACTTATCTTTAACTCAGTCTGAAATGTTGTGTTACAATCTGCTGGCCATAAAGTACTTATCAGACACTTTGCCCACAATCTAGGAACCTTGCAAATAGTTACTTCCCTCTCCTATTACCTCTGGTTCATTTCGCTGCTGGGTAGACTCTCCAGAAAGAATGAAGCTAAGGGAAAGGGGGTAAAACTTAGACTCTGTCCATTTTGATATTTGTCAGTGTCCCTGGCAGAGGGGTACAGAGGAAAAGATTGCTTATAATGGCTGAAAAGAGACCTGAGAAATTTTTGGATTACACTGTTTTCTCAGTTACTTTTTGTCTTTCTGATGTCTGACAAATGAAAGCTTTGAAAAATGCACTTTACTCCCTGGACACTGTTTAATTAGTAACTGAATATGTTGAGGCCCCCTCAAATGGAGACTTAAAGTACAGATGCCCACTTGTCCTCTCCCCTATTCTTCTTGGCCCTTGAAACCACTAATCCCAAATCTTCTGCCTCCCAGATCACTTCCTGCTGGTTACCCTGTCAGATGCAGCTAAGGCTTGAAGGTCTGTGGAAAATTCCAAGATGGATGCTTTCCTAAGGAGTAGCTATTAGTGCAGGGCAGATGCAAAGGTGTTAAAAGAAAACCCTCAGTCTCACACATGGCCTGAGACCTTGCAGCTACAACTGCACAAATCTGATCCCAGGAGAAGGGGAGGCTTAATCCTTTTTCAAACCTAGATCAAGAATTGGTGGCACACGCATTTCATGTCTCTTAGATCCTCAAATGGAGGCTCATTCTCAAGTGAAGATGCATGCACCTAAATCAGGTGCACCTGACTCAAGTTTGGTCAGCTCAAAATAGGTTTCCTGCCTTCATCAGATCTGGTGAATGTTAATAGCCTGAGACACAGCCCAGTGGGAGGATAGTATTTGAATTTTCATTCCAGTTCTTTCTTATGTGCATTCTTAGTCCTTTCTATTTGAGACACGATGAAATGTTAGAGTCAACCAAAAGGAGCCTAAGTTACAAGCCTACCTTTAGATAGGTGTTCACTTCCTGAGAGTGATGGTGGGTCTCTTTTCTTTGGCCTTATAGCTATCCAGCAGACAACCAAAGAGGATCTGGCTTGGCTGGACCCAAAAGATCCAGCGTGGTTAGCCCAAGCCATCCACCCCCAGCTCCTCCTCTGGGTTCTCCACCAGGCCCCAAACCTGGGTTTGCTCCACCACCTGCCCCTCCTCCTCCACCTCCAATGGGCATTCCACCTCCACCACCACCCATAGGATTTGGGTCTCCAGGGACCCCTCCACCACCTTCACCCCCATCTTTTCCACCTCACCCTGATTTTGCTGCCCCTCCACCTCCTCCCCTGCCACCTGCAGTGGACTACCCCACTCTGCCACCACCTCCCTTGTCCCAACCAGTAGGCGGTGCGCCTCCCCCTCCCCCTCCCCCTCCCCCTCCAGGACCTCCACCTCTCCCTTTCAGTGGTGGGGATGGCCAGCCTACCATACCACCACCGCCGCTTTCTGATGCCACCAAGCCCAAGTCCTCCTTGCCTGCTGTGAGTGATGCCCGTAGTGACCTGCTTTCTGCCATCCGTCAAGGTAAATCCCAGTGGGTGGGTTTGGGACTATGAAGCCTTGTTTTTCTGAAGCTGGGATGACTGATTAGGGTGATGGGGGAAAAGGGATCTGTGCCTTTTCCAGAGAATGGCTTTCATTGAGTTGTGGAGAGGTTGGAACTTCAGATCTCAGCAGACTGAAAAAAAGACTTCACACCCTGAAAATATGAGATTTCTTTCCACATTAGTCTAAAGTAAAGAATTCTTAACTTGGCATCTTGGATCTTCTTGAAAATGTATACTTTGCTGTGCAGGTAGTGAACACCTTTAATCCCAGCAACTTATCGAGGGCCCAAGCAACTTAACAAGATCCTGTCTCAAAATAAAAAAAAAATGTGGCTCAGTGGTTAAGCCCCCCTGGGTTCAGTTCCTGGTACCAAAAAAGAAAATGTATGCTGTGTGTGTGTGTGTGTGTGTGCGCGCGCGCGCGCGCGCGCGCGCGCATGCGCGCACCTATATTTTTTTCCCATTTAGAAAGTATCCCCATTTTTCCTCAGGTACCCAGGAAATATCAAGAGTCACAGTCCCAGAGAGCCCCTCTTTAGCTGCACTCTGTCACTCCCTGTGCTTTTCCATTGCTCCACCTTTTCTATACTCCCTCCCTCTGCCCTCTTTTCTTCTTTTTCTCCCTATTTCCACTTATCCCCTTTCCTTTTATCCCCTTGTATATTTTCTCCCTTTCCCTTCCTTTATTCTCTCCCCCTCCTCTCTCTGTCATCATCTCACCAGCCTGGAGCATTTATTCTCTGCCAGTGGCCAGGTCTGGTCCCTAGGGGGTTGGAGTGGTTGGTTCTGTTTGTGATTCTCAAGGGACTTCTAGTATAGAGAAGACAGTCCAGAGCTGCTGAGCCCCATTAACGGTCATTGGACTTGGATAGCCCGAGTCCCACTCCAAGCCTTGTGAGAAAGTATCATCCTCAGCAGCCAGGAAAAATGCCATGCTTTAGACACACTTATAGTACCAGGATACTGATTTTTTTTTTTTTTTTTGGTACCAGAGATTGAACTCAGGGGTGCTTTTAATCACTGAGCCACATCCCCAGCCCTTTTATTTTTTATTTTGAGACAGGGTCTTGCTAAGTTGCTTATGGCTTTGCTGAATTGCTAAGGCTGGCCTTGAATTTTCAATCCTCCTGTCTCAGCCTTAGAGTCTTTAGGATTACAGGCATGTGCCACCATGCCCAGCAAGAACCCTCATTTCTTTCTTTTTTTTTTTTTTTTGTGGTGCTGGGGATTGAACCCAGGGCCTTGTGCATGTGAGGCAAGCACTCTACCAACTGAGCTATATCCCCAGCCCCAAGAACCCTCATTTCTTAAAGCCCATCTTTCCTTCTCTTCCTGCCAACCTTTCCCAGAGGATCCTTCTTTTTCTCAATTCTGTACAGTTCTCCCACCACTAGTGGTCATTTCCCCTTGGGGCTAGATGGATTTTTTTTCCCCCCTCAGTTCTGGGAATCAAACCCAGGGCTTCACACATGCTAGGCAAGGGTTCTACCACTGAGCTACATCCCTCAATCCAGGATACACCTTCTTAACCCTTCTCCCTCTCTATCACCAGGCTTTCAGCTACGCAGGGTTGAAGAACAGCGGGAGCAAGAGAAACGAGATGTTGTGGGCAATGATGTGGCCACCATCCTGTCACGTCGTATTGCTGTTGAGTACAGTGACTCGGAAGATGACTCCTCTGAATTTGATGAGGACGACTGGTCGGATTAACTCTTTCTGCCTGCCGCCCACCTCCTTTTCTTTCCTTCCTACCTTCCTTTTTTGATGCCTATCCCAATAGTCCTGTGGGAGGGGGGAGAAACAAAAGAATTTCAAGGGCCAAAGCCTTCCCTGAAGCAACCAAAGATATATCCAAGTGCTTCCTCCAAATCAACATGTATTTTCTCTCCCTATTGTCAAGAGCATGGGCTCCTGAGTTTCATAGCTAAGATGAGATGTTCCCTGGTTCCTTCAAGTGACTGTCGCATATTGAAAGGAAGGAAACCCCGCCCCAAGCAGATTTCTTTGATTGGATTTCAATGGGAAATGGTATTCTTCGCTAGGAGCCATTTTCAACTGTGGCCCTCATTTAAAATGAGGGTCTCAGTTGAAAATGGCTCCTAGGGGAGAGTACCATTTTCAATTGAATTCCAACCATCTTCTGGTCCTAAAGTACTGAGAGCAGACTGTGGGGACACAGTTGTCCCCCTTTCCTGTGTCCTAAGAGGGCAGAGCAGTCTGAGTACCCCGAAGCCAGACCACCTCTTGCCTACTCCTGCTGTCTTCCCTAATCAGCAGGGTGGGGCTGCCTTTTATTCAGTGATCTTTTGACCTGGGATGTTTTTTATTCCAGGAGGTAACAGACCACTACAGAGTGTCTCATCCACTTTTCCCAGAAACAAGGTCTCTGAAGGCTGAGGCTGTTGTCTCCCTCCTAGACTCCCTCTTATCAAGTATGATGGTAAAGTGTCCTTCAAATACCCCTTCCTTGCCCTTAGGTGCCTTTAGGCTCTATAGCTCAGTTTTAACCTCTAATATCTATGACCAAACTAGCCCTGACACACAGGGACATGGGTGGGCTTCTGCTGACTGTCAGGAGCAAAGCTTAGAGACTTGGAACTACAGAACTAGAAGGATGGTAGGATTCCTTGGGTCTGCCCTCTTAAAGATGATGAGGCCTAGACAAGGGAAGTGACTTGCTCAAGGTCACACAGTTGGATAGTAATGGAGCAAGAGCCCAGACATCCTGATTCCAAGTCACCTGTGCTTTCTGGGACCAAATAATGGGCACCTGCTGGAGTCTGGGCAGAGCAGTCTTGGCTCTGTGCTGCTCCAGACCTCCCCATAGGCAGGGGTCCCAGTCGGAGGCTCAGTGCCTGTGCCAGCCCTGTCAGTGTTGCTCAGACCTTATAGCCTCTCTTGTAACCCTTTGTTGCCCCTTCCTATCATCAGCCAACAACATGGCCTAGGAGCTGTGCTTCTGGGAAACCAGAGAGAAAAAGAAGAGGGCAGGCAGCTTTGACAGGTGCTGTTTTCAGTTTTACTGCAACTCCTCCCCTTTTATTTCCCCAATTTAAGCATAGGTTCTACCAGCTGTAGAAACTTGAGTCCCTCAGGCTGGCAGCCGCCCCAGGTACCTGCCTTGGTGTGTGTGGGGGGGTGCCTAGCAGCCGTGAAGAGGGCTGAAGGGTGGAGGGACTCAGGGTCCTCCCTTACTGCACATGGTAATGTTCATTCCCCCACCCCCAGCCACTTCCCAGAGCTTATACACAGGTGCTATTATTTAGGAAAAAACTGGTCAGCTCTGGCCAACAGCAAGGTTTTTCTCTTCTGCCCCAACTATTGTGTGGCCTCTCATGCTGAAATCGGCTTCTCCAGCTTTCAGAGCCTGAAACAAAGAGAAAAAGGATCTGTCTCTACCCAGCACAGCAAATGGTTGTAGTAATTGCCAAAGCCCTCATAAACCCCTCCGGCTTGAGGAGAGTATAATCGTGGGCACTGCTGCCTGCCCTTGCTGAATACCTCCCTCTGCCTCCTTTCTTGAACTTAGGATGTGGGGAGAGCCTGCAAGTGCCAGAATATGCTTCTGCTGCAGCTACTCCAGAGTGTGCCCTCCTCCTATTCCCCAGATAAGGTATCTTCTGCACAGGGCTTGGCACCCAACTCCATGCTCAGCACACCAGGCTGGGCCTGCCCAGCCATGTCCCCTACTTGCACTTTGGAAGCCGAAGGTCCTTTTATCAGAACCCTGAAATGCTGTTGAAGGTGCCCCCGCTGCAGCCCAGCAGCGGCTGGAGAAGCAGGTGGAGGGAAGTGTTTCTCCCAAATAGGAGTCCTGGGGCCTGGCCAGGCCAGGGTTTGGGCCTAATGGCTGTGAGTAAATTACCCCCATCCTCCTCCTTTCCGGAAGAGGGGGAGCCAGAGCCACTCACTATCATTCTGCTCTGACCTTGAAGGGGGTGGTGTTGGCCTGGCTTCTGGAATGGACAGAGTCCACCGCAGAAAGGGCTGGGGGCAGGAGGAGGTGGGGAGGGGCCCTGCCTGCGGAAGGTAGGATTAGATCATTAGCTCAGTGACCTCCTAGGGTTTCGATGTGCTGTGTTCTCATCCTACAGCTGGTTTGGTAATGATCTGCAAGTCCCGGAGAGCAACAGCACAGCTCTGCCTGACGCTCTCATTAAAATCTATGCAGCCAAGCTCGGCGCTTTGTAGCAGCCGGCCTTGCGAAGCCTCCTCAGCTCGGGGGGCTGGGGACCCAGTCAGCTGAGAGGCCCTCTGGGCTCTACTTATGCATATGTGCACCAAAAAAAAAAAAAAGTGCTTCTTGAAACCCAAAGCCCTTTAAAGTGATAAAGGATCCAATGCAGGTAGATATGTCTTTGGAATTCTATAATTGTAGGATACAAAGTTTAGTGATTATTTAAACCAAACAGCTGAGGCTGGTAAGAGTATGAACAATGGCCTGTGAGGGCTCTTAAGTACCAAAGCCAAGGAGCCACCTTCCTTCCTGGTCTGCCCAGCCCAGCCCAGGGGACCTGCCCCCATTCCTGTGGCCCAGGGGCCCAGCTTCCAATCGGCAGTGTCAGAAGTGACTTGTGGCTTTGCCTTGGTCGTGAGATGATTTCATTCCAAAGGAGCAGGGTGTGGGGGGGGGGGGCTGTGTTTGATCCCTTGGAGGCTCAGAGCAGCTGGCCCAAGCTCCAGCTTGCCTCCAATGGAAGCTTGAGCGCCCTCAGAAACGACCCTGACCAATGTCACCACAGAGCCGAGGCGGTGTTGTCAGGGCTAATGTGAAATCTCTTCCCGTGGCGCCGATCCTCCGACTCTGCAGCGCCAGCTTGGACAGATTGAGGTCTCTGAGGCTTTGGTGACCCTGCTTATGCATTCCCACCGTGTCCCTGCTCTGCTCTAGGACTGCCTCCCTCTGCAACCCCTCACCTGACCTCAGGGCCTGGGGAGGGAGGCAGTGCACCACGCCCAGGCGCTTCTGCTCAGGAGAGATGTCAGCCTTCCTGGGGGGCAGCAAGCTTTGAGCTCTGCCAGGGGGCAGCTGGCCAGGGTCCAGCTGATCTGGGACCAGGTGTCCCACTGAAAAGTGCCTTGCTGTGCCTCCTGCCACATTCACTTTCACAGTGCCTCAGTGAGGGCAAGGAACAGTTCTGTTACTGTATTAACTTCATTCAGTTAATTCACTTGAGAAACTAACCAATTTTTACTTTCTGTCTAGAATGATGTACATGTAGGAGAGTAAGCTGTAATGCTCCCAAAGTGCCTTGTTTTCTCTGATATAAATATATTTATAAGGACATATTCCAATGGGTTCTTGGGTATGTTTGCCACATGGAGATTTTAGGGCATGAGCAAGTATAGTGGGGATGCCTTCTGCAAACAGGCCCTTTCCCCTGAGAATGGGGAAGGGGCTCTTCAGTTGGAAATCCAAGCAGTGGGGTTAAGTCAAACCCCCACAGTTACCCTTTCCTCCTCTGCCCTGTTTTTCTAAGACCCTGGAAGGATATCCAATTGTTTGAATCCCTGCAGCTCCAAGCCTGGTCTCATTTGCTTTCCTGCCAGGCTCATGTGTATATATATACCTGTATCCCAGTGATTTGAAGATTCCATGTAACTATTATGTATACACATGAATACTTAAATACCAATATTTTCAATAATTTGATAGTCTTTGTAGTCACTCAGCCACCTCTGAGGGTGTGTGTGAGTGTGTGTGGGGGTGTATGTGTGTGATGGGAGAAGAGATTAGAAGGGGCAATACTGATAGCCACGGGCTGTGACAGCTCAGAGGGGTTCAGCCTGGGTGGGCTCAAAGGGCAGGAGGCTTCTGGGCAAAGACCCAAGTTGGGGGACCAGAGGTGCAGACCCCCAGGCCTCTTTCCCCATGAGGAGGGGGTGTGTGCCAGATACTGGCTGCTGACAGCTCCTTCCACCAGGCAGGAGAGGAGCACAGGCTGAATGCTGATGCTGCCTCCCAACATCTGGCCGGCATCTTGTCTGCCTCTCAGACCCATGCAACTTACCTTAAATAGAACGATTTACAATGGAATCCGATAAAAGGTTTAGGCTGCTCCACGCCCCCTCTCCTGCCTGGGGAAGAGAAGGGGGCTGGGTTTATATTCTGACCCAAAAAAATGACCTACCCAGGAAGCAACGGTTGTTCAGAGCACAGCTGCTGCGGGTAACTCTCCCTGGGGGTAATTTATGATCAGACACCCAGTTCCGGGCCCAGCAGACGCAGTGGGGTGGCCCCCCGGAGAGGGGAGGGAGCAGAGTTGGCGACTGCAGGTCATGCCTGCTGCTAGAGGGACAGAGTCACCCACTGATGTCCCAGGAGAGGGGCAGAAGTTTTGAATTGTCAGCAACTGCTGCGCCAGCCGCTCTGAGCTCATCGCTGGAGGTGGGGATGCAGGGGAGGGGGCTTATAGCAGGCTCGCCCTGCAGTGCCCCTCTGCTCCACCCTCCTGCTCAGGCCTGTGTTTAGTCAGCACTTGGCTGCCCGAGGCCAGTGACTGACAGGCAGCCAGAAGCCCGCCCTGGCAGAAGACAAAATGGTGGTGTTGGGAGCCGCCCTTGCTAGGGAATTGGAGGGAAGGAATGTGGTTCTGGGAAGAAGAGGCCTGAGCTTGAATTCTGGCTCTGCCACTTGGGAGCTGTGACCCTGTGCAAGTCGCTTCACCTCTGGGATAATCCTGAGAAGAATGAGCTCTTACTGAGCACCCACTACCTGCCAAAGACTGCATATGCTTAATTTCAATCTTTAGAAGCAGGGGTCTCCTGTTTTACACAGGAGTAAAACAGGTTCACGGAGGCAGTAATTTACCTAAGGTCATGCAGCTGGCCAGGGACAGCCCACACCCCATTCACTGTGCAATTTCTACATCCTAGTATCACAGTCTTTAGTGTGCTAAGGGTATGTGTAAAGTTTCAGTTACCTGCCACACACTCTGGTGACAAGTTTTAAAGGTGAAATAACAAGGGAGGGTTTATTTTTGCTCTTAGAAACGCTTTAAGCAAGTTCGACTGAGGGCCCAGCTATCCTAGACTTTTGAGGGTAAGTAGCTGTGCCCTCATCTGCCTGAGATGCTGCCTCCCAACACCTGGCTGGCATCTTGGCACCCTAGATTTGGGCTGGGCTTCACACAGACATACTGCCCAGTACACAAATGCACACGCACATTTTTTGCACATTCAGAGGCACATGTATGAGTGGCACGCAACCCAGGCATAGGGACATTGTGTGCAGACCTCTACCCTGTGCAAACAAGGACACAAATCAGTCAACTGTTACAGGAACGTACATAATTGCAGGCAAACCTCACACAAAGTCCTTCCAAGCCACCCCTCCCTACTCGCTGCTCTGCCAGTTGCTCACTGCCCCCTCCTGGCCACCTAGTGGCCAGGGCAACCTGGCACCATTTCCTGAAGTTCTCTGAGTGGTTGGCAGCCAGCTCCTTAGATCATGGGGCAAGAGCAGTTTCAGATAACTCGCCCTTAGTTCCAGGGGAAGTGGGTCTAGAGGGGATTCTTGAAGCTTAAGGACAAAAATAGCCTTTAACAGCCAAAGGAATCTTTCAAGGTAGAATTTGTCTTGTGATCTGTGTCTTATCATCACAGAAGGGCAGGTAAGATTTGAGCAAGGGGTCTGCATAAACAACCTCCCATGTCAGCAGATCACCACCCTGCCCTGCCCTGAGAAACTAAGCACACATGTGCACATGTTCTCATATATGCTACAGAGGAGAGGACCTGCCAGCCAACCAATCAGAGGCCGGTTTTTCTAGCTCCCAGCTGGCTGTGACCTTCCTGGACCACAACTTCCTCACCTATTCAGCAAAGAGTTAGTCTTGATGATGGATGTGGCCCCTTCACTTTGGACTTCACCATCTTGGGTGCTGACACTGCTCCCAGATGTGTCTGGGCGGAGTACATCCGTAAATGTGACTCAGTGGATTGCTTAGGACAGTTTTGGAAGGATTACCAACACAATCTTTTATGCCTTATTTTAAAGATAAGTAAATGAAGCACAGAGAGGCACAATAATTTACCCTAAGTCACACAGCAAGCTGAAAGCAGATGAAGAAATAGAAAACCTCTTTTTTCCAAAACACCAGAAAGCAGAGCACCTTATGGGGTTGGGCCCAGAGCCGAGGAGTCTTGAGTTCCAAGGGCTAAAACCATAGGCTCTGCTCTTTGGTCTGTGAGTCCTGATAGGATCCCTATGGCTGCCCGAAGTCTTGGAGAGAGCCCAGAGAAGGTCTGAGGCTTAGACATTTAGCACAGAGGCTGGGAAAAAGTAATTCGGAACCCCAGTGGGTTCTGCCACTTAGCAAGTAGGACCCCCCATTAGCAGACTGAGGGGACTTATGACTAAAGGGGATTCTGCATAGCCTGTGGCCACTTGGTAGCTCACTTATCAACGTGTGTACACATGAGTGATGTGTACATGTGTGTCTGGACTCCATGTATATAATTATACCTGTGGCTGAATGTTTGTGCATGTATAATAATATATGGGAGAATATTCATGTGTGTGTAGCATGTAAGTATGTTTGCAAACTTGTATATGACTGTGTTTGTGTGGCTAGTTGTGTATGTGTGTGTGCAGAATATTCTTTTTTTTTTTTTTTTTTTTTGGTGTTGGGAATTGAACCCTAGCATACACACCTCCAGCCCCTGTGTATGTTTGGATATACATATATAAATGTAACCTGCATATTGGACAGGTGACTAAATGCACACATAAAACCTTGCTTGTAGGACAAGGGATATAGTTCCATGATAGAGCACTTGGGTACCATGTGAGGCCCTGGGTTCAATCCAAAGTGCTGAGAAAAAAAAAAAGAAAAATAAATCTTGCCTGTCTGCTTACATACAGACTCAGATTCAGATGATCATTGAATTGCTTGTACATGAGCAAAGGTTCACATGTATTTTTGTGCAGAGTGGGGTGGAACATACCTAAACATGAGTGGCGAGTGTGTCAATGTGCATGCAAGAATGGCTTCACATGTGACGATACATATGAATCACAAGAATGCCTTCTCAGCAGGATGATGTAAGTGTTGTCCCCAACCTTGGAATGCAGGGTGCCCTGCCTGGCTCCAGTCAGGGACTGGGTTCACAGCACCCCCACCCTTACCCTCCATGTACTCCCTAGTCCCCAGACCCATCCTGCTTGGCCAATTTGCAGCCTTCCCAGCTCCTGGGAAGGCCTGCAGCAAAGTCAAGGGGCTGGTGGCCAATTAGCAAAGGGGTTAATCAGAGATCTGGGGACCCCTAGGGGGTAGGAAGCTGAAAGCAGGCATGGGGTTGGCAGCAGCTTGAGCTGCCTGTCCTAATACTGGGGGAGGGGAGGCCAAGACAGCCTGTTGGTACTGGAAACCAGGTGGATTCATGATTGCTGAGCACTGACAGTAGCAGGGAGCATGTGTGTGTGTACACTGTGAAACGGTGTGTGTACATGCATTCTAGTCCTTGAAAGTGGTCTTGCATGCATTAATGTATACATGCCTATGCATACCACCTGCATACATTCGTGCAGGTTTCTATCTGTGTATACATGGATGTACAAAGGCATGAAAGTGGGTTTGCTTACACAAGCATGTCTGAATCTGTTTGCACATAGTTGTGTAGAAGGGTAAGTCTGTATACATATGTGCAAGGCATGCACACACATTTAAGTATGTGTTCCAACATGCAGTCGTGTGCATATAAAGTGGCTGTGATCTGCCTACACATGTGCAATGGTATATCTGTGTGCACAAGGATGCATGCACTGCTGCACAGATGCATATGAATATCTGTATGTTTGTGTGTGTGTGTGTGTGTGTGTGTGTTTGGAACATCTGGACACCTGGCTCCTACTTGTGCTCCTGTGCATGTGTCAACGTGCTCAGTTCTCCGCATGGAAGGAGCTGGGGGATGCAGGGTTCACAGTCTCCAGGCTCCAGGAGGGAATCTGACAGACAAGCCTTGCCGCAGCCCCCGGGCCCCGGGAGCCTGTTTTCCAGCCTGTAGAAGCTGTGAGCCCGTGAACTCATCTTATATTAATAGCTGCTGTCTCCGCACTTATTGCAGGGAGAGGCGGTCATGGCCCCAGCGAGGGTTTGGCCCTCAGTACTTCCCCCCCACCCCCAACACACACAGGACCAGGGGAGAAGCAGAACATGTGTGGGCCCCATCCTAGGCCCAGCCTGGCAGGAAGAGAGCCCATGCTTTTCCCAATACAGGGAGCAGCTTGGGCCTCTGTATCTGGTTAGGATCAGGCATGGGGTTAGAAAGCTGGCAGAGGCAGAAAGGCCCCCATACACACACACACATGCTATGCTGAGCCACTTGGAGCTGAGCACAAGAGGAGTCTGAGGCTGAAGGAGACAGAAGGCTCAGTCTGAGGGGAAGACACTGTCCTGCCTCAGGGGATCTCGTCCAAGGCAAAAGATGTGACCCTGCTCTCAGAGATCGTCAGAGATCCTAAGGCTGTGACAGGGCCCAGCTCTCAGGAATGCCTGCTCTAAGGGAGAGACATGACCTTGAATTCTGGAGTCCCTTGATCTGAGGAGAGACAAAGAGAGTTGCTTTCAGGAGCCTTCGGTTTGAGGGAACAGACATGCCTCTTCTCTTAGGGACCCTCAGTCGAAAGTGAGCGACAGCCTCACCCTCCGGAGCCCCATTCTGAGGAGGGAGCAAGACTTCCCTACACATGATTACTGGGGGGTGGGGGGAGCTATGGGAAGGTGTGTTGTATGAATCATCTCCACAGCCACAGCAGGGCTCAGCTAAGGGGGCCTCTAGGAGGAGGCATGCAGTGGGGGTACAGAGAAGACTGGAACTGTGTCCACAGAATCCTGGGAGATGAGAAACCCAGCCAGCCCACCACACACTTAGTCTCCCCCAAATGCCTCAGATCCACCATATAACCACCCAGACACAGACAAGACAAAAACCCTTGGTGTGGATCCCGAGAACAGACCCTCCCAGACATAGGATAGAAAGCAGTAGGTCTTTGTTTGGGCCCTAGAGCCAGAAGCTGGAATGAGGACACCAAGGGCCAAGCCACACCCAGCTAGAATAGGCACCTGACCCTTCCTTGTGGACCTTGGTGAGGGCTTCTCAGGAGCATCAGGAGGCAGCAAGGAGATTCTTTTATACATTTCCCCTTAAAGGTCTGGACATAACCTGGAGACCCCCAGCTTTCCCCAGCCTGGGCTCAGACCACCTTGTCCCAGTTCCTGGCCCACTGTTTCTGAAACCTACTCCTTTAACCATGAAAAAAATCGATTTGGAGATGAATGAACTGGGTTCAAATCCTAACTCAACTGACTGTGACTTTGGACAGATTGATTGTCACCTTTCAGAGAGGCCTTTCTTTTGGGCACCTTCATTTAAAAAGTACTCATATATTCTTTCTTCTTACTTTTCTTGTCTCTGAAAACTTATCAACATTACTTTTTTTTCTTTTTCTAATAATGGAGATTGAACCCAGGAGTGCTTTACCACTGAGCTACATCCCCAGTCCTTTTTATTTTTTATTTTGAGATAGCGTGTGTTGCCAAGTTTCTAAATTCGTGATCCTCCCTGCCTCAGTCTTCCAAGTTGCTGAGATTTTAGGCATGTGCCACCGTGCCCAGCTCCCAATATTACATTTTTTAAAAAATCTCCTTTTTAGGGGTTGTGGCTCAGTTGCAGAGCACTTGCCTCCCACGTGTGAGGCGGTGGGTTCAATCCTCAGCACCACATACATACATACATAAAAATAAAGATATCGTGTCTAGCTACAACTAAAAAAAATTTCTTTTTTTTTTTTTTTAAAAACCCTCTTCTATTTAATGCTATCTGTGGTGCCCTTCTCCTAATCGTTAGGCTCTGTCTGTAAATGAATGGAGGCCCATTGCCTCCATTCTCAACTCTCTCTTGTGAAAAGTGGGGAATGATAGCACCCATCTGATGAGGGCAGGGTGGTAGTGTGTGAAATGTTTGGCTCAAAGTTTGAACTTGGGGAGGCACTTGTGGAATATATGTGTGGGGTCTCTTCCCAGGGCCCTGGTCAGGCCTCTGCATTTTGTGCTTGGGCCTGTTGGCATGTCTACCACCTAGACTCCTGCAGCCACTGCTGGGGAGAGGTTTTGAATACCAGGCAAAAGAGCTATGGGCAAGGAAATGGAGAAGGACTTGTATCCTAACCTGGCACAGCTGGATGAGTTTGAGCAAATAGCTGCTCTTTTTTGTGTGTCTCAGCCTCCCTGATGGTGGAGTAGGCCAGAAATGCTCCTCGGGCCCCACCACTAGGGTTTGTCCAGCTATAAGGCCTGAGAAGGTGGGAAGCTGGCAGGTTAGAGTAGTCAGAGATCCCTCTTTTTTTTTTTTTTTTTTGCTGGGGGAGGTACCAGGGATTGAACTCAGGGGTACTCAACCACTGAGCCACATCCCCAGCCCTATTTTGTATTTTATTTAGAGACAAGCTCTCACTGAGTTGCTTAGTGCTTCACTTTTGATGAGGCTGGCTTTGAACTCACAATCCTCCTGCCTTAGCCTCCCAAGCCTCTGGGATTACAGATGTATGCCTCCACACACAGCCAGAGATCCCTCTTGAGCCACACCCCAAATCTGCTCCTGCCTCCCTGATGAACACAATTTTCTGGGGTCCTCCTTCTCTCCCAAACATCCAAACTTGGGTCCCCAAATACACTTGTGTATAGCCACTCACCTTTACTTGGGAAAGAAGTTTTTCTTCTAGCTCCATTATGACCAGACCCTGTCCAAACATCTCCCAAATGTGGGCCACTGGCCCTGAGAATATAAATCAGGTTCCAGAATGTCCTAAACCCTAGACTTGGGAAAGAAGGAAGTGAGAGGACATTGCCTAGGAGACAAGAACACAGATTCTGGAAACAGATGTTCCCTATTTGAATCCTGATTTAACCATTTCCCAGCTATATGACTTCAAGTCAATCACCAACCCCCTCTCAACCTCAATTTCTTCATCTGTAAGAAGACAATACTATATATGTCAGGGGATGCTTGTTTAGTATGTAGGAGGCAACGTGCAATACCTACTCTTTGCAGAGTGCCTATCCCACACAGTAAGCACAAACTATTAGAAGAAAGGGTATTTTGAGGGTGGGGGACAGTACTGGTGATTGAACCCTTGGCCTAGGACATGTTAGGCAAGAGCTCTACCATTGAGCTACATTCCCAACCCAGAAAAGGGTGATTATTATGAAGGAAACAGATATGCTATGTGCATATTCTTCACATCAGAGCCTCAAACTGGCTCATGTGGGTAGGATGTGGGCATCTTCAGAGCTAAGCACCCTGGTCCTCAGGAGTATGCAAGGCAATGCCCAGGGCTCACCAGAGAGGCACTGATATCCTGGGGGGATCAACCACACTTCATCCCACCATTAGGCCCCTCTAGCCTGACCTGACCCTCTCATTCTGGTCTATCCCTCATTAGGCTCAACTCTACACACACACACACACACACACAAACATATTTATCACAAAATCATTTTTTAATGAGTTGGGTCAGGGGGACAGGAACAGGGAATGCACTGGGGACCATACCCCGGCTGGCAGAGTGGGGGGGAGTGTTGGCTCTTGCCCCTCCTCCTCTAGGGCACCTCAGGGTGAGGCCTGGCCCCCAGGCCAGGGCTAGGGCGCTGGATGCCAGGCTCAAGCAGCCTTGGAGTTGATACCGGCTACCTGGTCAGGCTACAGTCCCCACAAATGGCCACCAGAGGGCAGCCGGCCCCCAGCGCAGAGGAATTATCGGTTGCTCAGGTGATGGCTTTTTAAAAAAATAAAAAACCAGAGGCTGGTGTGTTCCTCCTGCAAACCCGAGGGGGGCGGGCCTGGGGAGAAAGCTCTGGTTTCTATGATCTCTTCGATAAAAAATAAGCAAAAATAATAACAAAATACGTGGTTTCTCTCTCCATTTCCCTCCTCCAGGAACTGAGGTCAGAAATGGGGGTGTGGGGATTGGGAATACCCTGGTATGGCCTAGGTTTCAAGGTATGGGTCTCTTTTTTCCCCTTATCACCCATAAATAAACTTATAAATAAATAAATAAATAAATAATATACTTTCTTTGTATGTGCAATATATATATATATAGATATAGATATAGATAAATAGATAGATAGATTTTCTCCTATCTAGGCAACTAAGTGACTAACCTCTCTGACTCTTGAGCTCAGAAATCCAAAAGTAAAGTGACATGGCTAAGGACAAGTTCAGGGGAGGGGAAAGATCAAGGGCTTGAATGGCACTGTAAAACACCCAGCATTCTGTAACTGCAAATCAGCTGGGCTGTGGGACATTTCTAAGTGGAATCCTGACCACCTGGAACATTCTAGAACCATGGAGCCAGCTGGGCCCCTGCAGTCATCTTGAACAGAATCCTGAAACACCCAATGTCCTAGAACTCCAGAACCAGCTGGGTCTGGGGGTGTAGAGCTGGGGATTTGGAACAAAGCCCTGGAGGACCTAACATTCTGGAATTTTGTAGTGATCAGGGCTGCAGGGGTCACCAGGATGTAACTACACATCACTGGGGGAGCGAGATCGAAAGGGAATCTTGGAAGAGGAACAACAGCAGCAAATGGCCCACAGCACCTTCTGCACATCCTGATTGCGGAAGGCGTAGATGATGGGGTTGATCATGGAGTTGTAGGTGGCAGGGAGCAGGGTGAGATAGGTGTAGAGGGGTGGAGAGCGGGCATCACCCAGCAGGCAGTAGACAGTGAAGGGCAACCAGCAGGCAGCAAAGGCGCCGAGCACCACGGCCAGTGTGGCAATGCCCTTGCGGGTAGCCACATAGTGGGAGGCAGGCAGCAGGTGCCGCTGAAGGGCGATCTGCTGGGCATGGCGGCAGACGATGCGGCAGATCTGGGCATAGAGCTGCAGCATGATGCCAAACACCATGAAGAAGGCAATGGCCAGGACTACCAGATGGTTCTTGGAGAGTGGATATACCACGCCACACGTGGTCAGCCCATCCAGGCAGTTCCAGGCCAGCACAGGCAGCAGCCCCAGGCCTAGGGCACCCCCCCATACTAGAGCCAGCATCACGTAGGTCCGAGTCACTGTTGTCTCTGAGTAGTAGGTGAGGGCATTGTACAGGGAAAGGTAGCGGTCGACAGTGATGGCCAGTAGGCTGCCAATGCTGGCGGTAAAGGCCATTGCCAGCACGCCAACAAGCACCAGGCTCATCTCTGCGGAGCCTATGCAGAAGACAGCAGCGAAGTGCAGGACCAGGCCCAGGCCTGCCAGAAGGTCTGCCACAGCCAGGCTGCCCACCAGCAGGAACATGGGAGCACGAAAGGCAGGAGTGCCCACGATGATGGCCACCACCAGCGCGTTCTCACAGGACACCAGGGTGCCTGAGATGCATAGCACCACATCCCAGGCCTTGGGTGAGGGCAGTGGTGCAGCTGGGCCTGTGGGCCCTTCTGCAGGGCCCATGCTGCTCACGTTGACGTTGCCTGGGCCAGCAGAGAGCCAGGCTAGCGGGCCGCCTGCACCCCACATCATGGTACCTGCAGGAGAAAGGCCCTGTGAGATGCTGGCAGGGCTGGTGCTGATAGGAGGGGTCTGGAGGGAGTGAGGTGCCCTTCAGGATAAGTGGTGCAGCCCAGATGCCTTGTCCCCCTATTCATGCCCTAGGGCTCTTCCCAGGATAACTTTGTCCTCTCTAATGCCTCCAGACCTTTAAACAAGGGTATTTATTTATTTATTTATTTTTTCCCTGAGGATCCCTGTCCTATATCTGTTTACCCTCCCTTCCAGTCCTCTGGGTCCTGCAGGCCTCTTTCCCACGTGTGTAATCAGAGAACTAGATGAAAGGCTACCATAAGTGAATGGGGGAACCACAGAATCGAGGCGATGCACCAAAAGGCTCAAGATCGGGCGGGGGTGGGGGAGAGAATCATCTCGAGTCTAAGGGAAGCTCTGCTTCCTCCCATCAGAGGATGACTCGGTTTCTGAGGCTCTCAGACCCCTCACGATTCTCAGCACAGCCGGCCCAGGCTCCGCCCCCAGGGAAAGCGCGTGAAGCTCGGTCAGCCCCCATCCGACATTCCTAGGGTAACAACACCTGGGAACTCAGCCCCCCACCCCGCACGCTCTCCCAGACTTCTGTCCCCGGACTGACCCCTCTTTCTGTCTTGAACCCCTGGATCTCTGTGAGCCATTCCCCGCTGGAAGTCTGGATCCCTGAGTCAGACTCCTCCTTCTGCCGGGACACCTAGATCATGGGCCTGACTCCGCCTCCTGCCCCAATATTAGGATCCCTAAATCAGACACCTCCCGCAGCTCGGACGCCTGTGTGCCTGCCCTAGCCGTCTCCTGCCCGCCCAATCTCGGACGACTGTCCGAACCTCCAGAACCTTGGGTCCCTGCAGGGATGCTCACCTTTCACCGGGTCACCCAACTGACTGCTCCAGCACTCGAGCACTTGGGTCCCCGTCTGCTGACCCAGAATTTGCTAACCCAGAATCCCAGCCTTGACCTCCGACCCTTTCGGCCAGCGGCAGGGAGCCTTCGGCCGGCCCAGTGCCCCATCCGGTGTGCCCTCCAGGATGCCTGGTGCCCGTGGCAGGGCCCCCTACTTACCGTTCAGGACAGGGCGCGGCCGGGCCGCGGGGAGGGTCCTCTTGGGTCCTGGCAGCTCAAGGTGTGCGCGGACCCCGAGAAGCCCCCGCGGCCGCGGGAGAAGCGGCGTGAGTCACCCCGCCCCGCCCCGCCCCCGGCCACCGGTTCAGTGACGTCAGCGGCCCAGTAGGCCAATAGGCGCGGTGCGCTGGGGCGCAGCGCGCGTTGCGCTGCATAATAATGAGGCCTCGCACCGCCCGCTCCCCCATTCATAAAAAGCGACCGTGGCCGAGGCCCCGCCCCCTCCCCATCGGCCCGCGCTGTCCTTGACGCGGCGCCCTCTGCGGGCCAGGGGTTTCTGGGGCTCTGGTGGAGATCCTTGGAGAAGTCTCAGGGAGCCTGCAGGGAATATGGTGGGGAGCAGAAAGGAGACCTAGATAGGCTGTAGGGTGATGGGGGACCCTCGGGTGACAGGAACAAGATGACAGAATCCAGGTGACGGAGACCAAGTGATGTGGCTGAAAGGGCGTCCTCCTGTGAGAATGACGGGGCCCTGAGGTGATGGTGACAGGAGCACGAGGAAGCAGGGAGGTGGGTGGAAGTGACGATATGAGCTGGTGACAGGATCTTGGGGGATGGTGGCCTGGGGATGCTGACGGTAGAGGATGGTAGAATCCCCAGGGCAATCATAGCAATGTCTGGGTGACTTTGCAGCGTGATGGAGTTTAATGATTCCTGGGTGGCAGAGGTGATGGCAAGAGAAAATAGGGTATCCAGGTGAATAGATTTCAGGTCACCATCACCCTGACAAGGGCTGAGGTACTGAGGGGACAAAGTGAAACGATGAGGGTCATAGGGTCCTAGAATAAAGATGCCAGGTGACTGTGGTAAGTGGGCCCTAGGGTTAGGGGAACAGGGCAGAGGAGCTGACAGTGATTGGGCAAGTAAGTTGCTGCCAGGACAGGTCCCATGATGTTGGGGCTGGAATAAGGAACTGCATGACATCACTCATGTCAGTCCAATAGGGCCCTCACAGCATGGGAGAGTAGGCCTGGCAAGATTTTAAAACCTGAATTATTTATTCAAGGATCTGGAAAGCCAGCAGGAGGGGGAGCACTTCCCTGAAGCAGCAGGAGATGGGGAGCCGGGAAGAACTTGGAAGCAGAAAACCTAGCAGCTCTGTTCTCCTGGCAGGTCCCTCTCAGCCTCCCTTCTTAGGCACCCTGGTGGGGTAGGGCATGGAGAAAGAGCTCCCCCTTTCCTAACCCTACCTGCTATTAAACCCTAAACCCAGGAAATATATATTTATTCATAAATATATATTTATTCATCTTCCTTTCTTGGTAACTATGTCTCAGTCCTGTTCCACTGTAAGCTCCATGAGAGAGCAGTGACTCTGTCCTCTTTTCTGCTGTAAAGTGGTGCCTAACATATAGTAGGTGTTCAATAAATATTTGTTGAATAGATAATTAAACTAAACAGGAGCTGCTGTGAAGGGGAACAGTGAAAGTAGCATGATTCATGCTTGAGGTGACTGAGAGAGGGGACAGGGCATCAGCTACCCAAGACTCAGATGTCCATCTTCTCCCTCATCTGAGCTGGGTCCCAACAAAGTTCTGGTCTCAGAGAAAGGTGAAGGGTGCTGGGAGGTTAATAAGAAAGTGGCGGGCATATGAGAGACTTTTGAGTGACAGTTTTCATAATTAATTGATCCTCTGGTGAAATGTGTACCATCATGCAGACAAAGTCACCACAGATCCTCTCCTCCCTCTTGCCAGCTCCAACGTTGCTTGGCCTTTAGGATCCCACTGCCATCCTCATTCTGCTCTCATGTTCCTCTGTTTTCTTGAGATCATTTTTCTTCTCATACTGGCCACATCTATGTTTGGATTAATTTTTCTCTTAAAAAATGTTTGTAGTTGTAGTTGGACACAGTGTCTTTATTTTATTTGTTTATTTTTATGTGGTGCTAAGGATCAAACCCAGGGCCTCACATGGGCTAGGCAAGCACTCTGCCACTGAGCTACAGCCCCAGCAACTGGATTAATTTTTCTTTGTAAAATCCAAAGAATCATAGATAGTGCCCTAGACAGTTGTGTTGTCACCATCAAAGACAAAGCTCACATATGATATGGCCTTATATGTTTTGGTGTTTCTGTCTTAGAGTTAGCATCCTAGGGTAGAGGACATTTGTTTTCAATGCAGTAGTTGGTTGGTCGTGAACTTCCTGATATGGATAGTTACTATGCCCTTCACATGGAGGTTGTTCCTAGGCAGCTAGGGACAAAAGATGGGTGGTATTTTTTAAAATATTTTTTTAGTTGTAAATGAACACAATACTTTTATTTATTTATTTTTATGTAGTGCTGAGGATCGAACCCAGTGCCTCACACATGTGAGGCAAGCACTCTGCCACTGAGCCACAATCCCAGCCCCAAGATGGGTGGTATTTCTAACCCTGAGAAACCCCAGAGACCCTAGAGACTGAAGTGAGGCTGTGTATTATCAAATGTACGCTCTCTCATGCACCAAAGTTGCTCTTGCTAACAGGACAATTGAGGTCATCACTGCCTAGCAAATCTTTCCTCCTTATTTTCTTCCCACCTACCAGGTGCCAGACCAGAGCCCATTTTTTTCTTACAACAACCTTGCAAAGGTAAGGGACCGTATCTCCAGAGAAGCCAAGGAACTTGCCCCTGATCACACAGAAAATGGCAGAACTGGATATGAGGCCAGGTTCACCTGTAACCAAGCCCAGAGTGTCTCCCATGCTAGCTTAGATGGCACTCTCATTCCCAGGAGAGATTGGGGTGAAGTTAGACAAGGTGACAATACTGCAGTTTGCCAGGTGGCCACCAGATGGCTGTGAACTCTCACTTCCAGGTGACGCTTCTTTACCTCTTCATTCTTCACCAGTCTGGAGTCTAAAGCGAGGAGTGAGGAGTGTGTGTGTGTTTGCATATACTTGTTTTGTGTGTGTGTGTGTGTGTGTGGTACTGGGGATTGAACCCAGGGCCTTGTGCATAAGAGGCAAGCACTCTACCAACTGAGCTATATCTCCACCCCTCCCATTTGCATATACTTGTGAGACACAGATAATCTCTACACTTGAAGACCTTGTCCCAAACGGGGGAGGGGGGTCCAGTCATTGTCAGTATATGTATTCTTAGCATGGACCTCATTCAGCCAGTATTCACTGATATCACCCTGGCTTGGGTTTTGATGGTTGCTAGAAACAGAGAGATGATCTGGCCACATTTCTGCATTTTCAATGTTTAATGTATATTTACTGAACATCTACTATTTGCCAGACACAGAGGTTACAGCTATGAACAAAACCTGCTGCCTTCTTTAAGGAGATCCTTAAAGAAGGGGAGAGATAAGCAATTTACAAAGAGACATTTGGGACTGGGGTTGTGGCTCAGCAGTAGAGCGCTCATCTTGCATGTGCAAGGTCCTGGGTTTGATCCTCAGCACCACATAAAAATAAATAAATAAATAAATAAAGGTATTGTGTCCAACTACCACTAAAAAATAAATAAACTTTAAAAAAGAGACCCTTACTATGTCAAATAGAAAACCCTTGATGGTCTCAAAGGCCAGTGGCTCAGACAAACATGTACTCAAATAGTCACAACATGGTATTGGAGGGCTACTAATAAACATCTGCTTAGCTTGTTCTGCATGCAGGGTGTTCCCTAGGGAAAAAGACAAACATGGTTTCTGCCTTTGTGGAGCTTATAGCCCAGGAAACAAATGTGTAGTTAATTATGCATTTGATACATGCTTCAAAGGAAAAAACAGATGATGTAATGTAGAATAACTAGGAGATGTTTTTTAGGTAGGGAGTTTAGAGTCACTTGAAGAGAGTAGAAGCCAGAGAAATGGTGACACACACCTGTAATCCCAGTATCTCAGGAGGCTGAGGCAGGAGGATTGCAAGTTCAAAGCCAGCCTCAGCAATTTAGTGAGGCTCTAAGCAACTTAGCAAGACCTTGTCTCAAAATAAAAAAATAAAAATAAAAAGGACTGGGGATATAGCTCAGTGGTTAAGTGTCCCTGGGTTGAAAGAAAGAAAGAAAAGAAAAGAAAAGAAAAAATTTCAAGAAGTGGGCATGGCAAGTACACAGTCTGTGAGGAGGAGAAGAATTTGAGGAGGCCAAATGAACAGACACTGAATGAGCACAGGGGAGAGGGAGGGTTTGAGCCCAGAGAGGTGGGCAGGGGAAAACCCTGTAGATGGGGAGAAGTTGTGAGACAGAAGGCACTAGTGGGTTAAGCAAGGGAGTGGTATGACCTGACTTTTATTTTTTCCAAGAATCACTCTTTTAGAGGTGACTTGAAGCATTAGTTTGCCAGGCAGATGTGGTGGGGAACGGAGAAGGACCCTCTACACGCACACACTGCAGGAGAGGAACTAGGATAAAGGCGTATCCTTGAGGCATAGGAAGGTGCTGCAGACAGCCCAGGACAGGCCAGAGACTTCTAGAGCAAGAAATCAAAGGATTGGCCAGGCCAAGGCATTGTTGAAAAGTTGTTAATTGGAAGAGGTGTGGCCAGATCCATGCATGGTTTCAGGACAGTCCTGCACTGTGAGGGCCAGCTTGGAGACTGGCCTGAAGGGTGAAAGACAGTGAGGCCAGCAGAAGGAGGATGAGGAAACCGGACCCAGGGGACACCTAGATATGGAGTGTGAAGGATTTTAATTTGGGGGGCTGGGATGGAGAGAGGAGGTGAAGGTCAAATCATGGTTTCCAGCCCAGGTGACTGAAGGGGTATGATGGGGCCTCCCTGAGTGGAGAAAAGGGACAAGATAATATTAGACACCTGAGGACATTCAGGACCCAAGAAGCAGGGGACCCACAGGAGGCATGGCAGAGGGAGGGTGGCTTCTAGCTTCACTGGAGGCTGGATTCACAGACTAGTCTGCTGAGTCTGTGTCCCTAAGCACCTTGCAAATTGGGGGTGACACAACCCATGCCTACAGGTTAATTGTGGACATTAGATGGGAGGCTGCAAATGAAAGCTCTTAGTAGAATGTACATTCTGCTGGTAGTAAGGGCTCAGTGATCGTAGGCTATGTGTTATTAGTTACAGGTGTGGCAGCTGTGGGGCCAGAAGTGGCCTGGGAGGTGAAAATTGGAGACTTCTTGTTGGCTTTTTTCTTTCTTTTTTTTTTTTTTTTTTTTGGTACCAGGGAATAAACTCAGGGGCACTCGACCACTGAGCCACATCCCCAGCCCTATTTTATATTTTATTTGAAAACAGGGTCTCACTGAGTTACTTAGCACCTCACTTTTGCTTAAGCTGAGTCATCGTGCCCGGTGACTTGTTGGCTTTTAAATGGGGACTAGTGACAGAGGAATGGCCAAGATGACCCCAAAAGAGTGTGAATTTGGGCTCAGAACTAAACTGAGCCACCATCAATTTAAAGGGGGTTAGAGGGAGAAGGAGGAGGAGCGAGGAGAAGAGAAAAAAGAGGTGCCCCTAAGAAACCTGAGAAGTGGCTGCAAGAGAGTGGTACTGGGCCAGGAGAGGAGGCCCTAGGAGGGCTGCAGAGAGGCCCTATTGACCTGGTAAGGGCATGACCCGTGGCTTGGCCAGAGGGTGTGATGGGTGTGAGGCAGACAAGATGGAGGGCTGAAAGGCAGAAGAGGGTCCTGGGGGATGGTGTGAGGGCCGAGAGAAAACACCAAAGCTGGGCACAAGCAGCCAGAGGTGAGGGATAGCTGAGACCTCTCCTAGCCTCCATAGGGCCTGCTGGGAGGCTGCACCCTAAAGGCCTAGTCTGAGCCAAAGTGACTTCACTTTCAAATCCATATTTTGCCACTGTGACCTCAAACAAGTCACCTTTTCTCAGCCTCGGTTTCCTCACCTATGAAGCAGGGATAAAAATAATCCCCACTTAACCGTTTCCACCCAGCTACCAGTGGGGGCGCTCTGCGCCCGGCTACACCAAGTCCTGGACTCCGCCCCTTTTGTCCAAGCCCCGCCCTAACCCGACCAGCCCAGCCACGTCCCTATCTGGCCCCGCCCTCGGTGGCTCCGCCCTACCAAAGAGCCCCGCCCCACCCGGCCACTCCTATTGGTCACGCCCCTACTGGCCACGCCCCGGTTGCCCGGGTCTCTCTCCCCACAAGCTCCTGCGAGCGGAGTCCAGAAGGGACGCGCCACACCAGCTGTCTGCGGACTCCCGGTTCCCACCCGCGTCCATGGCAGCGCCGGGACCCCGTGTCTTTCGGGCTGCGCTTTGCGGCGGCTACTGCTGCCTCCTCCTGTGTGCTCAACTCGCTGTGGCTGGTAACGCAGGACTGGGTCTGGCTAGAACCAGGCTGGGGCACTTGGCGCATTCTCCTCATCCATCTGCCTTCCAGTCTGGGCTGGGAATAGGAGGGGACTGCCAAAGCCAGTTCAGGGCTCCAGAGGTGGGAGAGGAAAGGGGCTCCCGTTTTGTGTGGAGTCCCACGTGCATATATATAGGCTTCAGATGTAGATTAGGGAACTTCGGGTGTATGTGGAGGTGATAGCTCCAAATGTGCCTGGGAACCCCAGATGTACGTAAAGGGAGGGGGTCCTGGGGGAATGTGGTGAAGGCTAGGTGAGTGTAACCTTGTGCTTGCAGAAGCTCCAGGCGTGAGCAGAGGGGTGAGAGCTATAGAGGTGGTGGGGTAGTGCTGCAACTTGGCTTCCCAGAGTTGCTCCCTTCCCACTCCCATCCCATTCCCAGGTAAAGGAGCTCAAGGCTTTGGGCGGGGAGCCTTGATCCGCCTGAATACCTGGCCTGCTGTCCAAGGGGGCTGCAAACAACTGGAGCTCTGTGAGCGTTGTGTGGAGGGGGACAGAGCACACAATTTCTCAGGCTGCGTGTGGCAGCAATGTCGACTACAGGAACCAGGTATGGAGTTGGGCCCTTTCCAAGCTCATTGGCCCCAGCTCTGAAGCCCAAAGCTTTGGACACTCTCCTCAAACCTCTTCCCTGCACCTTCTCCCATAAGGACACTGTGTGGCCCAAGCTGAGGTGGTCAAGGAGGGTTGCTCTGTCTACAACCGCTCAGAGTCCTGTCCAGGTAAAGGAGTTCCCACTGGTCTAGCAAAGAGGGAGGGGGCTGGTCTCGCCATCCAGAACCTGCTCCCAGGAGAACCCGGCCTCTCAGGGAGTGAACTATGCCCACAAACACCTGGGTCCAGTTTCAATTCTGTCTTTAGCTCTCAGAGGTCTCTTCCCCTCTATGACCTGTTTTATCACGGTAAATTGGTCCAGATGTGCGAGGGGATAGGGGCATTAGGTCTTCCTGTAATATAAGACAGAGCCATGATTTTGGAAGTTCAGAAGGGAATGGTGGGAGGCTTCCTGGAGGAAGTGGGATCAGAGATGAGCTTGGTAGGTAGAACTGCAGAGGGGGCACATCTGGTGGAGGGAACTGTGCGACGAAGGCTTTATAGAACACTGGTGTCTGGAGCTGGGAGAAGAGCCCAGTCTGAGTCGGAGTCCAGCAGCTGGCAGAGACTGGGGTCTCCATGGGAGTCAGGGGACAGGAAGGTGGTTTTATTATGGATTTCCTGTCTCCTCAGCTGCCCACCACCATCCCACCTATGAACCAAAGACAATCACAACAGGCAAGTATTCCCTGTGGGATGGGGTAGTGGGAGGACCAGAGGTGCATAGAAAGACAGCTGGGCTCAGGTGCTAACATGCTCTGTAGTCTCCTTCTCTCAGTTTTCCCTCCATCTATAGTTTCCACATCTGTAAAATGGGTTGGGTAAGACCTACCTCACAAAGCTGCTGTTAGGATTTAATGGGTCTGCATAGATAGGGCCCACTTCAGTGTTTGACGCACTGAAGGTGATCAAGAAATGGCGGCTCTTGAGGCTGGGATTGTGGCTCAGTGGAGCATTTGCCTAGCACACGTGAGGCACTGGGTTTGATTCTCAGCACCACATAAAAAAATAAATAAGTTATAGGTATTATGTTCATCTACAACTAAAAAAGAAAAGGTAGCTCCCCCCCATTCCTAACCTGTCCCTTGGACCTGAGAGTATGTGGCTTCAGTCACTAATAAGTGACCATCTACTGCAACCTGCAGGACCAGAGGGTCCCAGAGCAGATTTCTGGCAGAGCAGAGGCAAGGACCCCACCCCTTGACTTCCACTGCCCCTCAGAGACTGGAGGTCACCAGACTTGGCCAGGATGGCTGAAGAGGCTCTTGGTTAATTAAAGCCGGAAACTGATCTCAGAGGCTGAATTATTGATGGCTCAGTTCCCTCAACTGAAGCCCCAGATCTACTGTGTGTGGCTCGTCTCTTCCCTTTTTGCTCTTCTTCCCTTGGCATCCTTCTCTAGGGATCCCTGAGCTTCAGCTGGGACCATCTTTTGCCCTTGGTATTCTTGGACCCCCTTATACCACACACACACCCTCTGGGAAGTGGACCCTGCTCCCAGCAGAGCCCCTGTTCACTGTCCTGGTATGTTTTTTGCCCACCAGCCCTGCCCTACACTGCCCTACCTGGCCCTACCCTGTCCTGGGCACCTGGCCCAGGGCCTGAAATGGAATCCCTTGTGGCACAGCTGGGAGTCACCCAGACCTAGCCTGGTAACTGTGGCCCTGAGGCTCTACTATCTGAGGAGAAGAGAAAGGGGCCCATCTTCTAGTAGGGTGTTGGTCTAGACCTCTACTTCTCCTGCTCCTTCTTCTCTGAGTAGGGGCTCGAGGCTTAGTGGTCCTGAAAAGGGACCATCTGCATCTGGGATCTAAGCCCTAAGCACCCTCTCTCACCTAGTGGGTCTATGGGATTAGTAGGCCCAGAGAGGGTGTGCATGGCAGAAAGCCACAGAGCAACTTAAGAATAGGGCCAAGTCCTAACAAGCACTGTCCCTTATACCAGGCACTTCCCCACTGCCCGTAGGTTCTGAGCTAGACTTCTGTGCCTGTGTTCCAGGCTCCATAGTGAGGACTAGAGGCCCTGAGGTGTCCTGGGCCAGTTGTGAGGTGGAGCAGGGATCCTGGGTCCATGGTGGCCATCTATGACCTCCACCCTGTCTCACTCCACAGGGAGCCCTGTGATCCCTGAAGCCCACAGCTCTGGCTTTGATGGTGCCAGCTTCATCGGGGGTGTTGTGCTGGTGCTGAGCTTGCAGGCGGTGGCCTTCTTCGTGTTGCGCTTCCTCAAGGCCAAGGATAGCACTTACCAGACACTGTGAGTACCTGGCAGCAGGGGAGTCCCAGCATACTTCCCTTACTCCTCCCTGCCCAGGGAATTGTCTTCTCCACGGGGTAACCCAAAAGATAATGACTCCCTCCCCATGTCCCCTATGTGAGGCACCCCCCTTCTCTCCTCCAATAGGGGCTCCCTGCTAATGTTAGCTGGGACCAGGATTCAGCCTGGGCCCCATGCTTGGCAGTTCAGCTGAGCCCCACTGTGTCTTTGTCCCCACATGCTGCCAGCAGGGAGGAGAACCAGTAGGTGATGGCTCAGGCAAGTCTTCAGCCAGTCTGGGGCCGTGGGCAGGAGCCAGACTGTGTGAAAGTGTGGTGTCCTCTGAGAAGGGAGCCGTGCGTGGCTCCGTGTGCCGTGTGCTGTGGGGTGGGTCGCTGCAGCCTGCGTTAAAGTGTTTGCTCTTCCAGCTTCACCTGCTCTCTGGGGGGTGAGAGTCTTTGCCCAACTGAGGTAGGGTCACCTCCCCTAAGTGTCTCTCTGTGTGGCCTCCTCAGAATCTGACCCCTTTGGGCCTGGTCTTCACACTGAGGGGAAGGAGGACTCAGAGGCTGCCCTCTTGGCCACTTTGTGGGCACTGGGGGTGGGAAAATCTTTGGCCATCTGTTTCTGGCCCCTGTGGAAACTGAGCAGGCTCAGCACCCAATCCCTGACCTCCCCTCCTGTCCTGGGCCTGCCACCTACAGCTGAGAACATCCCTCAACCACCTCGTGTCTCATCTGTGGACCCTGCTGGGCCCCTCAGCCTGGTACCCGGGGTCTGTGCCGCCTCTTCCTACCAACTTAGCCTGGGCTCTCCCCCCAAATAAAGGAACTGTTTCCGGTGCCGTGCTTCCTGTCCTGTGTCCGGGTTGTGTGGATGGGGAAGGATATGGCCGTCATCCTCTCCTTCACAGGAATTCTGCTTAGGACTAGGACTGCCTCCTTTAAGATATTTTTGTCTCTTATACCCCTCTCCAGCAAGGGTATGGAGACTCAGAAAGGTAAATGTTTGCTCAGATTATGGCAGAGCTGGGGTTGGAATCCAGGCTCTTCTGACTTCAGAGTGAGCAGGACTCCCTTCTGAAGGTGTCTTCAGTCTCTGTCCCCTAAACTTATGTCTGTGCCCCAGGGCCAAGGAGGAGAGCCCCCAAGACTCTCAGGTGGCCATTTCTGGCCTTCCTCACCCAGGCTTCCTTGGAAAGCCCTGCCTGCATCCTTGGGCACAAAAGTCTTCTCTGACTCATAGCCCCCCAGGTCTTGGGTGCTCAATGGGAACCAGGCTTGCAGCAGGGTCTCACTTCTTCACATGCACAATGCCAAAGAAAGTTGAAAGGAAGAGTAAGGATTGAGAGCTCAACTCAAGCATTTCATAGCTCTGGACCTCAGTTTCCTCATCTGTGAAGTGCAAGTAACTGTCTCCATCTCAGTGGGATGTGGAGAAGGCTCAGGGCAGGTGCGGGTATTCTGTTTGCTTCACTCCAGAGCACCTGACCCTCTTAAGCTGCACAGCCTGTGGGCTTACCCTCCCTCCATCCTGATCTCCCCAGAGATCTCTGGCTGCAGCTGGATGGTTGAAAGGACCCTCAGTTCCATAAATAGTTCAGCTGCTCTTTGGCCTCACCTGCCCACACATGGCACCCACCTCCTGAGGCTTCTCCCTCCCACCTTCACTTCTGTCAAAGCCCCCATTCTTGCAGACACCTGCCCCGCCTTTGGTCCTCCTCCAACTATGTGGATCTACTTCTGTTCCCAGCCTGCCTTGCTTCCTCTTTTCTCCAAGCCTTTGCACATGCAGTTCTTCCTGTTGGGACCACCCTGGCTTCTCCCCGCAGGACTATTTCTTTGCCTTGCCCTCCTTTACCGAATGTTTTTCTTTCAAGAACACTAAATGCCTATGAAGGGAAAAAAGGACTATATAGAAGTTTAAAGAGTGAGAATCACTCCTCCCTCTCCCTCCTTCCCCAGAAATGACTATGGTTAACAGTATGTTCCAGACCTTTCTCTGTGAATTCATTATGTATATACACGTTTAGCATTTTTACAACACAGTGTGATTGTGCTGCACATGCTCTTCTGTGACTTTCCCTTGACATTATAGATTCACCCTATGTCTTGTCCAAACGGTCATATTTAAAAAAAAAATTTGTAGTTGTAGATAATCAGAATGCCTTTATTTGTTTAAATATTTATTTTTTAGTTTTAGGTGGACACAATATCTTTATTTTACATTTATGTGGTGCTAAGGATCGAATCCAGTGCCTCGTGCATGCTAGGCGAGCACTCTATCCCTGAGCCACAACCCCAGCCCTTATTTGCTTATTTTTCTATAGTGCTAAGGATTGAACCCAGGGCCTTACAGGTGTTAGGCAAGTGGTCTGCCACTCAGCTACAACCCCAGCCCTCAAATGATCAAAATTTATTTGCCTGGATCCCATCAATGCTGGCTGGGTCATTTCCATGTTGGTTTTGGTTTTTTTGGTGTTTCATCCAACCCAGGGCCTCAAGCATGATAGACAAGTATTCTGCTACTGAGCTACGCCTCCAGCCCTCAGGTGAACTCACAGACAGCCATGCTGAATAGGCTCGTCTGTAGACCTCGATACACCTGAGGGAGGGTTTGGGGAGGGCAGACTCCTAGACTGGAGTTGCAGTCTCCGGCCTCCCTCTTATGCTTCCATCCTGTTAGGCAAACTTGGCCTCCATTTCACCTCAGACCCCACCTGCCCCCAGCATTAGGCCTGGCACAGGGCCAGCCCTCAGAAAAGGTTTACTGCATGAATGAGTGGCCATGCCTTCTCTTTGCTCCCCTGCCACCTGAAGTACTCGTCCAGCTCAGGCCTCACCTCTCACAGCTAAAGCATGGCTGCCACTTCTAGGCCCCTGCACAGGCTGCACTCAATTGGCCTATGTTGACAGTTGTTTTCTAGGCCCAGAGACTCAAGCTACAGTCACTTTCCTAAGGTTGTTCCTCCCTGGTGGCGGGTATTGGGAGAAAGCTCTGTGGCTTTAGGCATATAAGTGCCAGGGAAAACAAAAGTCATATTCCATCTCTGGGCCTCAGTTTTCCTCCTCCTTTATTCATTCATATGAATATTATGAATATGTACATATATAAATACATATATACATGCTGGGGTTGAACCCAGGGCTTTAAGCATGCTAAGGACATGTTCTGCCACCAAGCCACACCCCTAGCTATTTTACCAATGTTTATTGAGTATTTGTTTTGTAGCAGGTTTATTACCTAGGGCCAATAATAAGGACTGAGGCCTTCCAACATGAGGATTGGGAGGGATGTACAAACTATACTCAGTGTAACATCATAGTACAGTAGGTACCCAATAGATGGTAGCAGTGGTCTCTATTAATAGTGTTAACAAGGATCAGAAAGGACCAGGAAAGTGGAGATGGCCTTAGAGCTGGATTTTCACAGACAGGTGGAGCTTCACAGGTGAAGATGAAGAAGGAGCGTTCCAGATGGAAGGCACAGAATGAGCTGAGGTTTATTTTATTATTTATTTATTATTGTTACTATTTTTTGGTACAGAGGATTTAACCCAGGGGTGCTTAACCGCTGAGCAACACCTAAGCCCTTTTTGTATTTTATTTAGAGTCAGGGTCTCACTGAGTTGCTTAAGGCCTTGCTAAGTTCCTGAGGCTGGCTTTGAACTTGAAATCCTCCTGCCTCAGCCTCCTGAGCCACTGGGATAACAGGCATGTGCTACCTACCATACCTGTGAACTAAAGTTTAAAGCTGAGAAAATTCATATGAATATAGAGACCTGGAGAGATGACTGGGGAGCCCTGGAAGTCAGGATCAGAAATTGGACTCCATTCTGGCTGGACAAGACAAGGACGATACCCATTCTCTCTAGGGCTGGGAAAGGAAGTGCCCTCTGGTAGCATCAGCCTGTGTGGGGTGTCCCTGGGGGACAATGGGAGGAAGTCTTACTTTATACCTTCCCACCAGTCTGGTTTCTTATAAGCTGACATTCTTTCTCTGGTGGCCTCAGCAAGATGGGCCTACAGTGGACCTCTCTTTCCTTATTATCCTCCTATTTAGGGTCCTGCCTGAGTACCCAGGACCATCCCAGCTTCCCAGGTAGGGGTTTAGTGTGCTTTCTCCATCAACCCTCCTCTTATTTCCTGCCTTCCCCAAGGAGACAGGTTAGAGTTTGACAATTGGGGCTCTGCATGCTAATTTATGCAAATAAGATAGAAATAGTGCAAAACCTTACCTGCTAAAGAAGCAAGTGCCCTGACAGCTAGAATCTGGGAGGTGGAAAAATAACTGCAGAGAGATCTGGGAGAAACATGTCCAAACTGTGCCCACGGACCCTGTGTCTCCCTGCAGAACCCAGGGAACTGAAAGCCAGCAAAGTTTTTGTCCTGGAACCCCAGGAAGTACTGGGGAGAAAGGAGCTCCAGGTCCCCAAGGTGAGATGTGTTGGGGAGCTGGCAGGGCCCTTTGGTTAACCTGGCGGCCAGGGTACAGGTGTGAGGATGTAGCAGTTGCAGTTTGTGCTGAGGAGCCATAACAAAGGGACAGGAACCCTTTCTGTCCCAGGCTCTTGATGGGTAGGTATGCAGCATCCTAAGATCTGCCAGGTAGGTGGTATTGTCCTCAATTTACTGAGGAGGAAAGTGAGACTGAAGACAGGGTAAGTTAAGTCTCCCATCACAGAGCCAGTAAAAGGTGAAAAGGGGATTGGAACTTCTAGCTCCAAATCTTGTTTCTTTGGGGGCATGAACAGGACTCAGGGTATCTCTGCCTCTGGTCTTTGGGGGCATGAACAGGACTCAGGGTATCTCTGCCTCTGGGATTTCAGGGCAGCCTGGACCTCAACAAGGTGGACCCCAAGGGTGAACCTGGTGAGTATGTGAGGTCAGGGCCTCCCTATTTCCTTTGCTCTATCCCCACACTCAAGGGTGGATGTTTCTGTTGCCTCCACAGCAATCAGTTATGACTGCCCGCCCATGGGGATGGGAGGCTGGGAGGGTGGGGAGAATTAGGAGAAGGACCTGGGCTCTCCCCATTAGTGGTTATGGCCACTCCCTCAGGGGTGCTCAGATCTCAGAGCCAACACACGGTCCTTCTCTGGGGCAGGAGATCCAGTGAAACTGTTCTGGTGCCAGGAGGGTGGGGCTGCCTTCGTGGGAGCTGGGAACTTGGAATCAGGCAGTGTGGGTGTTGGTGGGCCCCAGGCGTGGCCAAGCCCTCCTTAGTTCTCCTTATAGTCCCTTCAGAGTCCCAAAGGAGCAAGAGGGCTTCTGAAGTCCCCACTTGTTCCAGTGACTGGGTGGAGGAGTTTGGGGAATAACCTGCCCACCCCCACACTCCATCTCCCCTTTCTCAGGTCCCAGTATCCGCCAAGAGCTGCTGAGCCAGGGCACCACCTTGAGTGGCTGGTACCATCTGTGCCTACAGAGGGCAGGGAGGGCAGGAAGGGCAGGAAGGGCAGGGTCCATCCAGCCTTTTGTGACACAGCACTGCTGGGGGTGGCTCATTGGTGAATGAGAAAAGGGGCTGGAAGACCCGATCCAATGAGCACTTCTCCCCCATGACCCCTAGGGGGAGCCAAAATCCATTGGAGCAAGATACCCTTAGAGGAAGTCACAGACAGGTGGTGGTTGAGCTCCCCACAGTGCCTGAAGAAGTCTGAGAGGGCTTCATAGAGGAGGTGACATTTGAAAGGACCTTGAAGGCTGTGTAGAAGTTTTCTAGACAGATAAGATGCAGAAGGGCTTTCCAGGTAGAGGTAAAGATAAATTTATGAAAGCAGGAGAGTACCAGAGGGTTTAGGGGCACCAAGGGAGGGAACTAAGAGTAGATGTGGGTGGTCAGCTATGGTCTTTTGGTGTGACCAGACATGCACGGAGGACCTCTGCAAAGGCCAGCTCCGGGAAGGCATTAAATTACTGACTGAGGAGTTGTGGGGGGAAATGGGGAGCCCTGGAAGAGATTTAAGCAGAAGAACCAGGTCAGACTTGTATTTTAGAAAGATGACTTGGCCAGGTATGGTGGCACACACCTGTAATTCCATCGACTCGGGAGACTAAGGCAGAAGGATTGCAAGTTCAAGCCAGCTTCCTTCTGTTTGTGAGGCTCTTAGTGAGACCCTGTCTCAAAATAAAACATAGAAAGGGCTGGGGATATGGCTCGGTGTTAAGCGCCCCTGGGTTCAATACCCAGTGCCGTAAAAAAAGAAAAAAAAAAAGAGAGAGAGAGAAGTCTTGGGCTACATCGTGGAAGATGAGTTGAAGTAGGGAACAAGGTGGAGAAGGAGTCAGGTGTAGTGGTGCACACCTATAATCCCAGTTACTCAGGTGGCTGAGGCAGGAGGATTGCTCAAGGCCAGCCTGGACAATTTAGTGAGACACTGTCTCAAAATAAAAAATAATAGTAATTTTTAAAAGTGCTTGATCTGGGCTGGATTGTGCATGCCTGTAATTCCAGAAGCTTGGGAGGCTGAGGCAGGAAGATCTTGAGTTCAAAGTCAGCTTCAGCAACTTAACAAGGCCTTAAGCAACTCGGTGAGAACCTGTGTCTAAATAAAATATAAAAAGGGACTGGTGGTGGGGGTGCGCTGGGGTTGTGGCTCAGTGGTAGAGCACTTGCCTAGCATGTGTGAGGCACTGGGTTCAATTCTCAGAATCACATAAAAATAAATAAACAAGAGGCTGCGGTTGTGGCTCAGCAGTAGAGCGCTCGCCTAGCATGTGTGGGGCGCCGGATTCGATCCTCAGCATAATAAAATAAAATAAAGGTTTTGTGTCCAACTACAACTAAAAAAACAAAATATTTAAAAATAAATAAATAAACAAAAATAAAGGTATTGTGTCCATCTACAACTAAAATATGTTTTTTAAAAAAGCAGGGGTGCTGGGGATGTGGCTCAGTGGTTAAGTGCCCCTGAGTTCTATCCCTGGTACCAAAAAAAAAAAAAAAGTGCTTGGGATATAGCCCTGTGGTAGAGCACTAGCATCCCTGGGTTCAACCTCCACTGCTGTAATAACAATGACAAAATATTTAGGAGGGAAACTCCTAGGGTGAAGGAGTACTTGACCTGGAGGAGGAAGATTGGAGGGGTGGATATCAGGGTAAGGCCAGAAGTCCAGTTTGGACTGGGGTCAATATCTCTGCTTTAAATATCTTGGTTTTTATCATAGTAAATGAAAGCACATTATCGTGAGTCTGATTCCTAATTGACTAAGCATCTCCTGAGGGAAGGGACAGTGTTTCTATCATTTCAGTCTCCCCTAGGAATGCAAGGTTTTGGTATGCATTTGAGTGTCAGTAAAAGTTAATAAGGAAGCCTGGCATGGTGGGCACACCTGTAATCTCAGCGGCTCGGGAGGCTAAGGCAGGAGGATCGCAAGTTCAAAGCCAGCCTCAGAAATTTAGCAAGGCCCTAAGCAACTCAGCAAGACCTTGTCTCTAATAAAATATGTTTTAAAAAAGAGCTGGGGATGTGGCTCAGTTGTTAAGCACCTCTGGGTTCAATCCCCAGTACTAAAAAAAGAAAAAGTTAATAAGAAATCAAGTTTATCAATGTATTTACAAGAAAAGCTTCCTTGAAGAAATTTTTTATCCACTAGGCCCCAATCCAAAGAGAAGAGAAACATCAGCTCACCTCTCCTATTCACCCAACCTCAGTTGACACATACCCTTGCTCCCCAGCACCCCTTGCCCAGGCTGGAGTAGTACCTGGTATGTCAGTCTTCTCTGTCTCTGCAGGTGTTTCCAAGGTGACAGGATGGTTCTGTGGATTTATTTCATTTGTGGTCATCCTACAAAGCAGGTTTGGGGAGCTAGGAGTCTGAGTTCTGGCTGGGGAAATGAGAACTTAACACCAGCTCACCCTTCAGGGGGAGTTCCCAGCAAGGTCAAAGGGCTCTAAGGGACGGTCTTCCATCCCTCCCAAGTCCACACCTGAGAATCTGAGCTTCCTTCATTCCAGCTTCCCCCTTTCTCCCAGGTACCTGGGTAGAGCTGGAAGACTTTAATGGCTCCATTTCCCCACTGTGACTTTCTGTCTTATGGGGGAGGCAGACTACTCCCAGCAGGCACTGAGCAAGTTCTCAGAGGCATTGCAGGTGAGTGAGTCCAAGGTGGGGCCCTGAAGAAGGGGAGGCAGGGGGCTGATTTCTTTCAGAGCATTGCCTAGGCCTCTAGGGCAATTTCCTCCCCTCTGTGGATCTCAGTTTTTTTATCCAAGAAAAGACAACTCTGAGACAAGATGGTACCAGAAAGAAAGAATTAGGGCTCTGGAGGCAAATAGACCTGAGGGTGATTTCAAATTCACCACTTACTCTGCGATCTTGAGCAAGTCCCTTCTGTGTCAGAGCCTTGGTTTCCTATAAAATGGGTGGGGAGGAGCTGGGGCCATAGCTCAAGGCAGAGCCCTTGCCTAGCAAGTGCAAGGCCCTGAGTTCAATCTCCAGAACAGGGGTGGGGTGAGGGTGGGTGGGGTGGTGGCTGGGAATGGGCCAGGAGGCAGGGTGGGGCTGTGGGCGCCATCTGAGGCTCCTGGAGTGTTAACATGCTCTGGTTTGGGAACGGAACTAGGGCAGTCTTCTGTCAGAGAAACAGACTGTTGGGGAGAGATCTGAAAGGGGGAAGTGGTGATGGGGAGGTGCCTCAGGGGAGCCCCCTTTCTTGCCCAGGCACATGAAGTTCCTCCCAGCTCTCCTTGGTGCAAATACTTGGCCTGTAAATGGGAGCTGAGAGGAGACAAAGGATGGAGAGAAACTAGGGATTCTGGAGAGGACAAGGCAGGGGGAAGAGTTGGTGACTTTGGAATCACTCATAAGTGCATGTCCCACTGCCGCTGTGACTAGCTGAGTGACAGTGGCAAACAACCTGACCCCTTATTCCGCTAATGTCTATGGAGTTGGTAAAATCCACCTTGAAGTTGCTTGAGACTTTCTCAGGATAATATCCCTAAGGGTGCCAGGCATGGGGTGGATCCCTACGGTGCCCTCCAGGAAGGGACCGCAGGAAGGGACTCCTTGAGCTTCCACAGCAGGAAGCCTTTTACCACCTGACACCGACCATGACTCAAATGGGAACAGCTGCTCAGAGGTTGTCCCTGGTGCCTGGTGGTATGAATCCTGTTATCAATCCAATCTCAACAGTCACTATGCAGTGTCTGAGGCCACTGCCCACAAGCATGGCATCAATTGGGCCTCTAGCTGAGTTGTGGGTCACCCCTACTACAGGGGGTTCCAATGATGCTCCACTAGGGTGCCCTGCAGTGCCCTTATCTCTCCCGAACAGCTTCCGGACCCTCAACCACCTCCCCACTGCAACCGCCTCTGTTTCCCTGTCCACATTTAAAAATAAATCATTTTAACCCTTTTCAGGCTTTCAGGATTCTTTCAGTTACTGGGTAAAGAGGGCAGAGCAGGAACATAAGTTTCAGCTCCATGGATGGATTTCCTTCCTTATCAGGAAGATGGAAGGGAAACCTCCCAAGGTAAAGAGGTTTCTCTTGAGGTGTGCAAAACAAGAACAGTGGGGCATCTAGCAGAGGGATTGGAAGAGATTCAAAAAGCCACTGAACAAGTCTGGGCTCTCTGGGCCTGCAAATGGATGGTTTTGTGGTAGAAATTGCATAGCTTTCTAACCCTCTCTGTTGTTCATGCTTGTCCCTTGTAAATTGTGTTTCCCACCCCAGTCTGTTATGGGTCAAGTCCTCACCCTCTGCTGCTCCTTGCCTAACCCGTTGAGAGCTCGTTTGAATCCAAGAAGAAGGTACATTTTTTTCTTCCCATGATGAAACAGCACAATGAAACAGTAGCCACTGAGCTAGCATTTTTTGAGCAGTATATTCGCCCAATGCCACAGCATTTCAAGTAGTGGCAGAAGCAAATAGTTAAGAGTTGGACAGTCCTAGGTTTGCACCCTGCTCTGTTATATAGCCCACTGATCTTACACAAGTTATTTAACCCCTCCAAGTCCTCAGTTGCTGATTTCAAGGTTCACTGAGGTTACACAGCTTGTTGTCTCAGTCACTAATTCACATTAGAAAGAGATTCTTAGGGATGTGAGGGTGGAACACTGTTAGAACTCAAAGGGCTGAGGTTTCTAGGGTTCTCTTCAAAGGATGAGTAGAGAAATGTTTAGAGTAGAAGGTGCTTCTCAGGCCTCACTGTCATCTTCTGGATAGAAGTCAAAGATCAGTAGGCCTCCATAGCTGATGAAGTCCTGGGAAAAGTAGCACTCAGACAAGAGCTCAGACATCAAGCCCCACTCCAGGGCTGGATTCCGGACACCCACTATTCATTGTGTTTTGCATACCCCGATGACTTGAGAACCATTAATTCAACAGACATCTGTACAGCAGGGCCTGCAAATCTTGCTTGTTCTCTAGCCTGGGCCTGGGCACACATGAGTGCCTGCAGTGAGCAGTCCATAGAGGTTGGCGTGCACTAGGACTCAAGCTGTTCCGGAAGCGGCCAGTATCAGAACCTCTGGCGGGAGAGAAGGGAAGGGAGAGGCCGCGTCCCCAGCCGCTGGGGAGCGGTGCTGGTGCTGCCCCAGGGCCGAGGGTGGAGCTTTCCTGGTCGGGAAAGGGCTGGGCCCGGCCCACATGTGAGGGCAGGACAGAGTGACGGCAGGCGCTCCCCTGAGAAGTCTGGGTGACAAACACTGCCGGCCTGATTCCCGGGTTTCCCCTGCAACTCTGAGCTGCGGATAACCGAGTACCCCAGATTCTCGGAACTCAATCCCGGATTTCAGATCCTCAGGACCTTGCAAGTCTGAGCTCAGATTTCTCCCTGGACTCCAGATTTCCGGAACAGGACGTCCGACTGATCTCCGGATCCCCGGATCCCGTAGGAGATTCTCGGATCTCGACTGGATTCCCAATCCCGAGATCCCTGGATCCACCGCCCCAGCCTCGTGTCCTGCCCCAGTTTCCCAGGACCCGGCGCGCCGCGCCTGAGCGCCCTCGCATGGCGGGGCAGTGCACCGGGTCCGGGACCTTGGAGCGAGCGGGCAGTTGCTGGCAGGACCCGCTGGCCGAAGCGCTGAGTCGGAGCCGGCCGCTAGCTACCCCACCAGGCCGGAGCTGCGCTCGGAGCCGGCCTCTCAGCGTGGTCTACGTGCTGACCCGGGAGCCGCGGCCCGGGGTGGAGCTTGGGGCGGGAACCCAGGCGGAGCCGCTGCCGCTCCGTTGCCTGCGCGAGGCTTGCGCGCAGCTCCCAGGGCCACGGCCACCGCCACAGCTGCGCAGCCTGCCCTTTGAGACCTTGGCCCTGGGAGACACGGCCGCGATGGACTCCTTCTACAACGCGGGTGAGCGCGACGCCCGAGAGGCTTAGGGTATTGGGCGGGGAAAGGGGCGGAGCCGGCGAGTCCAGGGCGGGGCCGAGTTGGGGGCGGGGTCTAGGGACGTAAGGTGAACTAAACCTAAAGGATTTGAGGCGGTGCTATGGAAGTTGTGGAATTTAGGGGCTCTGGAGACCCTAAATTGGATTTAGGGATCCATCCCCTGTTCCAGGGTTGGGGTTGGCGCTTAAGAACCCTTTAGTAGGGGCCGTGCCTAGCGAGCGGGGCGGGGCTAGGGCGGGGCTGAGAGGCTGGGGCGAGGCTGGGGGCCGGGCGGCGGTTCTGCGGCGCGTGGGTGGCTGGAGACTTGCTTCGGGAGTTCTAAGTGCCAAGCTCTCGAGGGCGAATCCAGGGAGGGGAACTTGGACTAGGGCTCCTCGTGCGGGGCCGGAATTTAGAGGTCGTAGCATTACTACTTCCAAGGATCGGGGTAAAGAGGAGAAAAGGAAAGCGAAGGGACCCATCAGGACTGGACTCTGGGCGAGGGGGCTTAGTTTCAAGACAACGCAACGAGGAGAGAATGGGAGGGACAGGGACAGTCTGGGGCGGGGCCAGAGGCTGCAATTCTACCGCCTACCCGGATGCCGGGTCTCCTATCGTTATTTGTTCATCCAAGAGTCCGGGAACCGTGCTTCCTGGACGTCCATGAAATTGCAGCCCAAATAACTAAAAAGATTAAGAGAAATTGCAGCCTAAAAACAAATACTGACCTGACCTTGAAGACACAAAGACACACAGTCATGGATAGACTCACAAATCGCATCCATGTTGACTCAGAAGGGCCCCTGCAAACTTGTCATTCAAAGACACAGTAAGCTACACATATACACATACAGGCACAGCTTTGTTTATTTAGGCCAATGGTGCAGACTGCTTTCAAGAGGCTAGGTTGAGGATCAGGGATGGGACTTCTGTGTTTGTACAGCTCCTGCTTCCCACACAGCCTGGAACAGGCTCTGAGGTGGAGCACAGCCTGGCCCCCTTCTCTGGGCAGTGATTGCAGGCTCTGAGCAGTGGGGTGAGTGTCGTACCTAGTGAGCCCTCAGAAGCACCACAGTTATCAGTACTGTGTATGCAGTAGGGAGGCCATAAACGGGAGAAACAGGCCCAGAGCAGAACTGGACCTGACTGGGGTCCCTCAGCAAGGCAAGTCCAGCTGGAGTGCATCCCAGGCTACTTCCCCACCAAGCTGGGCTTCAAGACTTAGAGCCTGCACCTCTGTGCCCACAGACGTGGTGGTCCTGGAGGTGAGCAACTCCCTGGCACAGCCCTCCCTATTCTACCACCTTGGTGTGCGTGAGAGCTTCAGCATGACCAACAATGTGCTCCTCTGCTCCCAGGCCGAGCTCCCTGACCTGCAGGCCCTCAGAGTAGGTGGCCCGTGGCTGGTGGGGCAGGTGCAAGGTTGGGGTGAGGCCTTCCTAGAATACTAATATTTGTCTGCCTTCTGCAGGAGGATGTTTTCCAGAAGAATTCGGTGAGAAGAACCATTCTTCATTCTGATGTACCCTTTAACCTCTGACCCCCACTGGTCTTCCTGGCCTCCTCAGTTACCTCTGACCTCCCTAAAGTCCCTTGACATCCATGTGACCCTGTGTTCCCTATGGCCTCCTTTCATAAAGTGTGCCCCTTTCCTGCTATTCCATTCCTCACTGGTACTGATCTCTGACCCCTTCCTGTCTCTCTCTAACACTGTGCTGACCTCTGACCTCCACTGATTTCTGTCTCCTTTCCACCAGGATTGTGCTGGTAGCTACACACTGATCCCCTACGTGGTGACAGCCACTGGTCGGGTGCTATGTGGTGATGTGGGCCTTCTGAGGGGCCTGGCTGATGGGTTGGTTCAGGTTGGGGTGGGCACTGAGGCCCTGCTCACTCCCCTGGTATGCCGGCTTGCTCGCCTGCTGGAGGCCACTCCTACAGACTCCTGGTATGGGGCTTTCTCAGAGGGTACACCAGGAAGCCGCTGGTGAGGGTACAATGGGCTGTGGCTGAGGGACAGGCCCACCATTCTTTCTCCCTCCCTCCCCTGGCCTGTACATCAGTGGCTATTTCCGGGAGACCATTCGGCAGAATATCCGGCAGGCTCGGGAGAGATTCAGTGGGCAGCAGCTGCGGCAAGAGCTGGCTCGTCTGCAGCGGAGACTGGACAGTGTGGAGTTGCTGAGCCCTGACATCATCATGAACCTGCTGCTTTCCTACCGTGATGTGCAGGTGTGAGGTGTTCTGAGGGGCAGTCAGTCAGCTGAGGGGCATTTGTGCTCAGACAAACCCAAGTTCAATTCCTGTCTGTGCTTCTGGTTCACTGGTGGCTTTAAGCAAACTCTCTAACCTCTCTGAGCCTCAGTTTTCTTGTTTGTGAAATGATATCACTGACTCTCAGGGCAGTTGTTAAGTTTGGGGACACAAAGCATGGAGCACACAGTGGACTTTCCACGTGAGGTCCAATCTTCATACCTGCTGGGCTTGAGGGCGGTGTTCAGAGGGTAGGAGTGGGATGTCAGCTGTGGGACAGGATCCTTGCTCAGAGTTTTCCTCAAGGGCTGGGGGCTCCTCATGCTGGTGCTTACTGTTCTCTTACACAGGACTACTCAGCCATCATCGAGCTGGTGGAGACCCTACAGGCCTTGCCCACCTGCGATGTGGCTGAGCAACACAATGTCTGCTTCCACTACACATTTGCCCTCAACCGGTGAGTGGTGGATCAGGGCTTGGGTCAGAGCCACATGATGGTTTCTGTGGCCTGGATCTCTGCTTGTAAAGACGAGATCATTGCTGGCTGGGACCACTGGTCTTCAGGGAATTTGCTGACCAGCCAAGAGGTCCTTGTTGTTCTAGTTACTGCAGCCTGGTTACAGCTATCCAAGGTCACTGCTCCTTAGAGCCATTATATCTAGGAATCACTTCCACCCAGGTTCACTACTTCTTGAGAGGTCAGTGCTGACCAGGGTCAGTGCCATTTGGTGGTCTTGTGTTGTCAGGGTCCCGAAAGGGTCCCTGCTCTTAGGATTTAGGATCCCTGGACAGAGTGCATCAGGGTCATCAGACAGGACCTCAGACCATCTTCCCCCACCCTTAGGAGGAACAGGCCTGGGGACAGGGAGAAAGCTCTGAATGTGCTGCTGCCACTGGTTCAGTGTGAGGGCTCTGTGGCACCTGATCTGTACTGCATGTGTGGCCGTGTCTACAAGGACATGTTCTTCAGCTCTGGCTTTCAGGATGCTGGGTACCGGGAGCAGGCCTATCACTGGTAAGGGGTACAAGAGAGTGGACGGAGAACTGAGCTTGCAGGGTGAGGGACAGTGCTGTGGGCATCTGACTAGCCCTGTGGCCCCCCACCCTGCCTCAGGTATCGCAAAGCCTTTGACGTGGAACCCAGCTTGCACTCCGGCATCAATGCTGCTGTGCTCCTCATTGCGGCTGGGAAGCACTTTGAGGACTCTGAGGAACTGCAGCTGATAGGTGAAGTCCACCATCCACACAGCAGTGCCCAGAGAGACCTGAGGACAGGGCAGGGAGAGAGTCCAGGGCAGAAGCTAGGGCTGAGTTAATACCTTTTTGGTACCATTACCCATACCTGCATCCTCAAACCTGCCCTGGACCCTCAGGAGTCCTTGAGTCCCTTGAGCCCACAACTGTTCCCAAGTTCATATTTGTGTTTACACACTGAATTCCACATTTACTTGTGTCCGACCCCTTACCTGCACCCGAGATCCCACCTGAGATCTTGCCACGCCTACTATTTTACCCATACCTATGTCCTTGGCTGCACACATGCCCATATGAATAGTGTGGCACACATTTGGGCCTTACCCACACCTACACCCACATTTAATGAAGCCTATGCCCTTTCCCCCCAGGCATGAAGCTGGGCTGCCTGCTGGCCCGCAAAGGCTGTGTGGAGAAGATGCAGTATTACTGGGACGTAGGTTTCTACCTGGGAGCCCAGATCCTTACAAATGACCCCATCCAGGTGGTGCTGGCTGCAGAGCAGCTGTATAAGCTCAATGCCCCCATATGGTAGGTGACCCCTTCTACATTCCTGAGTTGTCATCTCCTGTACCCATGTCCATTGGCACTATAGCCTGAGTTCCAGAATATGACCCCAACCACTTTCAGGCCAGTGGCATTGGCATCTAGTGTCCATGTTCTGGCTACATTCAAGTCACTTTACTGTTCCTGGTGGTGCTGGTGTGATGGCTGGTCTGAACTGAGGACAAGGCTGTACCTGCAGGTACCTGGTGTCAGTGATGGAAACTTTCCTGCTCTACCAGCACTTCAGACCCACACCAGAGCCCTCTGGAGGACCCCTGTGTCGAGCACACTTCTGGCTCCACTTCTTGCTACAGTCCTGCCAGCCATTCACGACAGCCTTTCCCAAGGGGGACCAGTGTTTGGTGAGGCCTTTGGGAATGGGGGAATTGGGAGAGGATCAAACCCATTCTGATGGGACCCCTCAATTCCACTGCCTGCAGGTGCTGGTCCTGGAGATGAACAAAGTCCTGCTGCCAGCAAGACTTGAGTTTCAGGGTATGGACCCTGTCAGGGCAGTGACCCTAAGACTGCTGGAGCCTGAGACCCAGGTGAACCCGCGTTTGAGTCCCTTTTCTAATGCTATGTACCCTTTTCCTGGAGCTCTTCTCCGGTCTCCAGACTCCTCTCCTGACCCAGCACCTCCCATTACGCCCCCCTTTTTTTCTTGCAGGACAACCCCTCTAGCTGGACCTTCCCAGTGGCCTCCATCTGCGGAGTCAGGTGAGGAGCTGGTGCGGCGGGCTGGCTCTGGCGTTCCGGGGCAGCGGGGCGCTCACAGGCCTCTCCGTCCTTTCTCAGCGCCTCCAAGCGGGACGAGCGCTGCTGCTTCCTCTGTGCTCTTCCTCCGGCTCAGGACGTCCAGTTGTGCTTCCCCAGCGTAGGGCACTGCCAGTGGTGCGCTCAGCCTCTCGGGTCGGGTCGGGATATTCTAGAACCGGAATGCCCGAGGGAGTGAGGGAAAGGAAGAGACGATGTCCCCCAGGGACTCCCGGTAGAGGAGGGGACAATTCCTACCTGTCTGACCTTCCCCGCCTTCAGGTTCTGCGGCCTGATCCAGTCTTTGGCAACGAATCCAGATTCCACGGCGCCCGCGGAGGAGGCGGCGGGTGTAGGGGAGGTGCTGGAGGTGAGGACGTGGGACTGGGGACTTGAGGAGGGCGAAGGGCTGCAGGCCCTAGTGAACCCCGGTCACCCCACACTCTGCAGTTTGATTATGAATACACGGAGACTGGCGAACGGTTAGTGCTGGGCAAAGGCACTTATGGTGTAGTGTACGCAGGCCGCGATCGGCACACGAGGGTACGCATCGCTATCAAGGAGATCCCCGAGCGGGACAGCAGGTACTGTGTGTGCGGCGGTGGGGACCAGCTAAGGAATGGCAAGGGCAGGCGTGGGCAGGCCGAGCAGACACCTACCTAGTGGTCCACGCTGAATGCTCCATGAGCCCTGAAAGGGCGGGCTGCAGCCTGGGGCCGGGCTGAGTAGGTACCAGAGGGGCAAAGTTCTGGGGGGGGCGTCTATGGGTAGGGCCAGGTGGGTGGGGAATGTTGGAGGGGGGTTGTGGGAGGGGCTGGTCCTGGGGGCGTGGTCTGGTGGTGCACTCTAGGGTGAGCATTTCTGCCCAAATCTATCCCATCCCTCTCTACCTCCCCCCAGGTTTTCTCAGCCTCTGCATGAAGAAATCGCTCTTCACAAACGCCTGCGCCACAAGAATATCGTGCGTTATCTGGGTTCAGCCAGCCAGGGCGGCTACCTCAAAATCTTCATGGAGGAAGTGCCTGGAGGTACCTACCCTGCGTGGGATGAAAGTGAAACTTGAAGTGTGGGTTATGGAAATGGAGCAAGGCAGGGGTGGAGAACCCTAGGAGGAAATGAACCTTAGTGTGTGTGGGTAGTGTCGCCAAGAATTCGCTGATGGAGTAGTGTTGGGTGATGGAGTCCGGGCCTTGGGCAAAGAGATGTGGGTGGGTAACCATTGTTGTTACCCACTTATTTGCCCAGGCAGCCTCTCCTCCTTGCTGAGGTCAGTATGGGGACCCCTGAAGGACAATGAGAGTACTATCAGTTTCTACACCCGCCAGATCTTGCAGGGACTCAGCTATCTGCATGACAATCGGATTGTGCACCGAGACATCAAGGTCAGCCCTGTGGCTGCCCACTTGGTCTACTGGGGTTGGGGAAACATGGTCCCAGAGGCTGGAGGTTTGAATACAAAGTGGGCCGAACATTTGCAAAGGGTGGAATTAGTTATGGAGGTTCCTTAAAGAAAGAAGAGCCTCAGATCTCCTGATCTGAGAGGAGAAGTTCACATCTCCCAGGGGGGCCTATAAATGGTGTGGGCATTGGGAAGAGGTTGATAGATCCTAGGCCAGGCTGGGATCTCCAGGAAATGGGGGTCCTAGGATGAAGGTCCAATTCTGTCAGGGCCCAGTTCAGGTAGGCACTAAGCACAATGTCTACACCAATCAGGGGGACAATGTGCTCATCAACACCTTCAGTGGTCTGCTCAAAATTTCTGACTTTGGTACCTCCAAACGACTGGCGGGCATCACACCCTGCACTGAGACCTTCACAGGTAACAAGGGTGTGGGGTGATGAGTTGGGATGAAGAAGAACTCTTGGAGCCTTCTAGGGAACATGGTTTCTCTTGGGCTTGGAGTTAGAGTTCTAATGGGGGATGGAATTTAGGACAGGCATTGGGCCAGTGGTGAGGTGAGAATCTAGAAATGGAGTTTGGATAACTGATTAAATTGGGCTTAGCCACTTAAAATGTAGTCCTGGAGTATCAGTTCAGGCCAAGGTGGGTGTTGGGGGTCAAAGTAGGTGGTAGGGTTCAGGGGGATGGAGTGCATGATGAAACTCTCCTGTGGGTGATGAAGTCCAAGATGATGAAGCCTTGTGTGAAAATTGGAAGCTTTGGTAGGTTGGCTGATGGAACTCAGCATAGATGTTTGATGATCGAGGTAGGTGATGGGAACTATTTTGGAGGATGGGTTCGGCCTAGGTGCAGGTGGTCAGAGGGTGCTGGAGTCCCCCCATCCCTGTGATAATGCTTGGATGAGCATTGGTGCTCATGCTCCTATCCTAGGAACCCTGCAGTATATGGCCCCAGAAATCATTGACCAGGGCCCACGAGGATATGGGAAGGCAGCTGACATCTGGTCGTTGGGCTGCACTGTAATTGAGATGGCCACAGGTCGCCCACCCTTCCATGAACTAGGGAGCCCACAGGCTGCCATGTTTCAGGTGAGCCCCCCTTGGGGCCTGGCCATGGAGTTTGGGTGGAACTGGTCCTTGAACACCTTTAATCTTAACTCTTGTTTGTTCTCCCTAACTCCTGCTAGGTGGGCATGTACAAGGTACACCCGCCAATGCCCAGTTCTCTGTCAGCTGAGGCCCAAGCCTTCCTCCTCAGAACATTTGAGCCAGACCCCCATCTCCGAGCCAGTGCTCAAGCACTGCTTGGGGATCCCTTCCTGCAGCCTGGGAAGAGGAGCCGCAGCCCTGCCTCCCCCCATCATGCTCCTCGGCCCTCAGGTATTGTGGGTGTTGAGGGAGTGAGCATACTGGAGGGTCCTGGAGCTGTGAAGGTGAGAGGGCTGACAGCTTGTCCCTCCTTTAGATGCCCCTGCAGCCAGTCCCATTCCTTTGGCTGACCCCACCACTCAGTCCCAGACATTCCCGCAGCCTCAGGCACCCTCTCAGCACCCACCCAGCCCCCCAAAACGCTGTCTCAGTTATGGGGACACCAGCCAGCTCCGGTAAGAATCTACCATCCTGGTCCTAGAGTGGGTTCCGGTTTCCTTCACCTGGGTTTGTCATTCTACTCCCTCTAGAAAATGCCCTCCTTGGGCTTTTGGCCTGGATACCTTGACCACTTGCATGGTATCTGGTGCCCATCTGTGCCCTGTCCTATGTTCTAACTTGTGATTCCCCTACTCCTGCCCCAGCTCCGGGTTTTTCTCTTGTTATCTGTCCCTGAGAGGTAGGCATAAAAGTAAAAGAGCCAGGATTCAAACCTGGAGGATGGATGGTGTTGTCCACCCTCCATCAGCTGCTCTCCATTGCGCCCAGGGTACCGGAGGAGCCTGGGGTCGAGGAGCCTACGTCCCCGGAAGAGAGTTCAGGGCTGAGCCTGCTACATCAGGAGAGCAAGCGCCGAGCCATGCTGGCCGAGGTGGTGGAACAGGAGCTGCCAACGCTCGCCGAGAATCTGTGCCTGGAGCAGGAACAGGTGGGCGGCCCGCCCCAGCGACCCCTGGTGGTGGTGCATGGACAGGACTGCTGCTAGCCTCTCCCTCACCCCCAGAATCTCTTTAGCTGGAGTGGGACCCGCGGACCGACCCCTTGCTCCCTCTCAGGGTTCCCGACTGAGCAGGAATCATGTGGAACATCTGCTCCGCTGCCTGGGGGCACACATCCATACTCCCAATCGTCGGCAGCTGGCCCAGGAGCTGCGGACACTGCAGGCGCTTCTGCGGGCGCAGGGCCTTGGGTCTACACTTCTGAATGGACCGCTCTTCGCCTTTCCAGATGCGGTGAGGGGGCTTCCTTGCAGTTAGGGCTGTCCAATAATAGGTAATGAGCTCCCTGTGTTAGGTAATTGAAAGGGCTTGATGTTCCAGGATTCTAAGTCTCTTCCGTGGAAGGGCTGTCTGCCCAGCCCTGCTTCCCAGCCCATCCCTTGACATCAAGCCCTCCCACCTCACTTGCCTAGAGTTTCTAGGCCTTTCCAACTCAAGCTCCAGCTCCAGTTGAGGCTCAGCTGTCTCAGTTGCGCCCTCCCTCCCTCTCCAGGTGAAGCAGATCCTCCGCAGGCGCCAGATCCGCCCACACTGGATGTTCGTGCTGGACTCACTGCTCAGCCGCGCTGTGCGGGCAGCCTTGGCGGTGCTGGACCCTGGTAGGAGTGGGCTGGAGCCTGCCAGCCTGCGGGCGAGGGTGTGACCCTTGGAGGCGTGGCAAATACATAATAAGGCTGGTAGGGACAAGGCTTAGGGAGGTGGGAAGGAACCCGTCCAGGAGTGCATAATGGACATCTCCCAGACTGGCCTCACTTGGTCACTATCCAGAGCTGGGTGCTCTCCCTTAATTCCCCTGCCGTCGGATCTGGGGGTCCTAAAGGGGTGACTTTCTACTGCTTGAGTTCACCCCACTCGGATTGGCAGAGATAGAGAAGAAGGAGGGCTCACCGAGGTCAGAGGAATTGAGTAAAGAAGGGGAGTCTCAGCAGAAGCAACAAGAATCTCCTGTCTTGCGGAGTAGCGGACTCACAGAAGGAGAGCAAGACCCGCCTCCTCTGATAGTTCAGCTGGGCCTCTTGCGGGCAGAGACTGACAGGTAAGTCCCCTTGGAAGGGCACGTAGAATCTATGTCAGCTTCAACCCACTTGCCATTCCATTCTGCTCTTCTGCCCTCCACAGACTTCGAGAGGTCCTGGCAGAGAAGGAACGGGAGTGCCAGGCCCTGATATACCAGACTCTACACCAGATGAATGCAGAGGCCAGGACCTATGCCCTCGTCTCAGAGCCCCAAGGTGAATGGACCTGGCTGGAGGACACTACTGGTGGGTGTGAGGAAGCCTTTAGCAGGAGGCTCATCATCTCACCTGACTTCTTGACAGATGCCCTCCCAAAGGACCAGGGCTTGGTGCAGTGGTTACAGGGGCTAAAGGTGGATTCAGGCACCATCCAAACGGTGAGGGAACATGCTGATTATCCCTGACCCCCACAACCAGTAGTCCATCTCTTCTCACTTTTCCCTCTTCTTAAGGCTGGAAGTGTTTTCCTTCCATTGTATATATGATGGGGAAAATGAGGGCCAGAAAGGGGTATGATCCACCTTAACATTTTGATAGAACAATCTAGTACCTAGATCTCTGGACATATCTTCCTATAGTTTTATCTCTCCATATTTCTTTGGGTCTTTGTCCACAAACAGCTGCTGAACCACAGTTTCACCCTCCGTGCCCTGCTCACCTGTGCCACTCGAGATGACCTCCTCTATACCGGCATCAGGTACATCCTGGGCCCTCCAGGGGTGAACAACACACATGGCCTTATGCTGGCCAGATCCTGATCCCTACCTGTAGTCCTAAGTTCCTCCCTGAGAATCACAGGGGTTCCAGGGGTCCCTGGGGACAGAGGGAGCATTGGGCAGATAGTGGGTACCAGAGAGAGAGCTGGGGCCTTCTTCTGACTGAGCCATATTGAGCCTGCTGTCCCCAGGGGAGGGATGGTATGCCGCATCTGGAGAGGCATCTTGGCACAGCGAGCAGGATCTGCATCAGTTACCCCTGGACCCCGGGAGGCTGAATGAAGGCATCAGAGGCAGAAAAGACCCATGGACAGATGGAGAGAGAAGACTTGAGCAGCCTCTGACATACCTGCGCAGGACCAGAAGCAAGAGCAGAAGACCAGGCAAATGGGGCAGGGTAGTGCCCAGATCTAGCACTGGTGGGGGAACCAACTACAGAGGCATCCAAGCACAAGCACAACCAAAGACTATTAAACAGAACACTTTCATACCCTTGTCTCGGCAACTTCGGAGGTGTATGGTGGGTGTCCTGGGAGCAGCCCCTCGAAGTCTTTGTGTTTGAATCTGAGGTTCCTTAATCTCACCCCTTTCATCTACCTGGATCTTTTCTGCTAACACCTTATTACTGTAACCACCCCTCACCAGCAGACATCAGCCCCGATTGTCCTTAAAACAGACTTTATTAATAGACTCTAACCAAGGGTGGGCTCTGAGAGGGGAGTCCAGAGAGAGGGATTTGATAGGGCTATGCCCTGGGGACCAGGTTGGTTCTGAGGGGTAGAAGGCCATCCACCCATTCACATGGCCGCTCCAGGAGTGTCTGCCACAGCTGCTTCTCCTCAGGTGTGGAATCCATCCAGGGTACCTGGAGCCCATAGCTGCTACCTAAATGTTCCCGGGCAAGAGTGAAAGGCATGGTCACCTTAGACATCTCATGTCCCAAGAAACACTTGTCTGGTCCCAAATTATGCAAAGTACCTAGTCACCAGGAAAGGGCAGAAAAGTGCCCAAGGCCAAGCATTGAACCCCTGCTTCCCAATTTGGCTCCCCTTAGGGCCCTGCTCTACTTACCAGTACCTAGGCTGAGGCGTGTCCCCCCCAGCTGGCGATTAGTCAGGGCCCCGTGGTCCCAGAGGGAAAGCTCAGCACAGGCCTGGCGCAGGTCAGCAGGCCCAAAGCCATCGTAAACCATGGTGTGGTTGAATACTGGACTGAGGCTGCGTCGAACCACCCTTGTTCGCTGGCGGCTGGCCCGGCTGTCATCAGGTAGCACTGAGCTGTGGGGGAAGTGGGCTGGCATCAGGTCACCAACCCCTCACACTCCTTAGAGACAACCAATCATGGAGTTGTACCTATTCTCCTTCACATATGTCCATGTCCCCTGGCTCCTGCTTGAGACCTGCCCTCCAAGCCTGCGCTGCCCTGGGACCGTCTTTGCATCAGGTCTCCTGCCTTTAAGTTTATAACTTCTGTTCACAGGATCCCAGAGTGGTCTCTGAAATGCAATTCTGCTACTCCTTGGCTCAGTGACCTTCACTGGCTCCCTGTTGATCCCTCCACCACCCCCACCAAATTAGTTTGAAATTTTTCAAAACCTTGGAGCCCTTTCTGCAAAATAAAATATTGCTTGTAACAATTGAAAAAAAAAATAGAATGAGCTGGGAGACTCAGAATCTGATGAACCTACCTCCATTTCACTCTCTGAAGGTGGGACAGCACCTAGAAGGCCCCTAGAGATCCCCCAGAATACTTTGAGAACCACTGAACTACAATTCAGGACCAAGCCCCACAGCAAGGCCTTCCAAGTTCTCCATGGAGGTGCCCCAGTAGCCTCGGCTTAGCTCCCCAGTCAGCTCTGAAGGCAACAGTCACCCTGAAATGCAGCTCCTCAGGCATCTTCAACTTTCCTGGCCTTTGCTCCAGCCGTCCCCTTCAACCCTGCTCGGTGATCACAACCGAGGCTGACTGATCAGGGGTTGAAGGTAGAGGCTGATCCGAGGTTGGAGCCAAAGTGAAGCAGCGAAGTCCAAGTCGCAGTGCCGCTCACCATTGAATGTACGTATCCAGGGATCCTGAGCGCAACGGGATGAGGTCCTGAGCTTCCTTCACCCAGAAGTGCAGCTCCCCGCTCTCAGGCAATCCCGCGCCTGCGGAAGGGCTAGGCTCAGGCCACCTCCTCATGGCTCAGGGATCTCCCGCCTCCCAGGCTGGTCCAGCTTGGCCTCTCCTGGGGCGGTCACTCACCCTCGGAGCCGGCAGGGACGTACTTGAGGGATAGGGAGAGCAGCCCGCGGCTGGGAAGGTCATCGGGAGAGGGGGGCACCTGCAAGAGTCAGAGGGGGTGTGGGGGAGTGGGGCCAGGGGAAAGAGATGAAGGAATGACGTCTCCAGACACTGAGAGAGTGGGGTTAGCCGGGGCCAGGCGATAGGGGCGGGGCTTCTACGAGGGGCTCGAGGGTTGCAAACACCCGACCCCCCCTTGCGAAGGGGCGTGGCCCGCCTGCCCTGCCCGGGGCGGTTAGGGTGTCTGTCGGAAGGGAGGCTCTGTATGAGGCCAGGGCTGAGGGGACGGGGGCGGGAGGCGGGTAGTCCGTGGGGTAACGTGAGCTCTGTGCCGCGGGTCTCCCCGCGCAGGCCTGGCTTACTCGGGGTTGCAGGGGGAGCCAGGTAGGCTCCGAGTCCCAGTTCCACGTGTCCAAGGGCACTTCGACTTCGCCCAGGAAGATGTTGCGACCCAGGCTTTCCCGGTGCCACACCGACAGGCTCAGGACGCGGCCCGAGAGCTCGGCCTGCGGGATGGAGTACTGGGGACAGGAGTGCGCTTTAGTGGAGCCCCGCGGGCGGCCCGGCATCGGCACCGGTGTTGCAGGAGTGTTGACTAAGCTGGATCTACCATGCTTTATACAGGGTGGAGCTCTGGGGAGCCCCGAGGGCACTGTGGGAGTCTGGACTAGCCCTAGGCCCAGCACAAACGGACACTCTGGGGAATGCGGTTTCCCTGCCGTTCCTCTCGCAGAATGGAGGAGTGGAGAGACCCGCAAGGTCGAAACTGGCAGGCCCTGCCATCCTGCCCGCAGGAAGGGGCACCCTGTTCATTAGTGGCACCCTCGTGGCAGCCTCACCCGGAGAGTCTCGTTGAAGACCGGGTTCAGATTCCTCTTCTTCACCGCGGTCTTGCGCTTGCTCTGTTTATCTGGGAGGAGGTAGCTTTTGACGTAGCTGGGGTGAGGGAGGCGAGAGCCAGAGGTAAGCAAGGGCCCTCCAGGGCCTCTACCCTGCTTTGGCGGCTTCCCCAGCCACCACCTGGGACACAGCACTTGTGTGCCTGGCCTCTTGCTGATTTATAGAAATGATCTCAGTCCTTATGCCTCCCCCCTAATTGTCGTTCCCGTTTTGAATTTGAGTAAACCGAGACCAAGGACAGTTGATGGTGGGCTGAGCTGTGAGAGCGGCCCCTTGGAGCACCGGCCCTACCCGGGGTACCCCGCCGCCCCATTCCCCACCTGGGGCGGCCGGTCACTCACGGGTCGGAGCGGCCACGCCGGGCGGCAGCCAGGCCCTGACATTGGATCACGTGCACGCGCAGCTCGGAGGCACTGGGTTCGAAGTGCAGCGCGAAGTGCACAGAGCCGCGCACCTGCACCTGCACCGCGCCCGCCTCCACCTCCCCCGACAGGCTCATCTGGCTGCTGCTCAGCTGTGGAAGGGGTGAGTGTCAGCGACCGGGCCCGCGTCGGGGCTGGGGCAGCGCAGGGGGTTCATACTCGGGGCATGGAGCGAGAAGCGAGGGAAGAGGGGAAAGTCACCTCCGGGTGGCTTGCTGCGGGCTGGGGCGTCAGGTCCAGGGGTGAGGGAGGGTCAGGCAGGGGCTAGCTCGGGATATGAGTGGGGGAGAGGCACCCCAGGCCCTCCCCCTCACCGTGGAGGAGCTGAGGCTGGACACAGAGGAGCTGCTGCTGAGCATGCGGTCGAGTGAGGGGCCGCGCCCCGGATCCTCCTCCCCGTTCTGCAGGATCTCGGATGCCATCTCGGTCTGGAGAGGGGTGAAGTGACCCGGGCGCCCCCTTCTTCCCCGCGCCTCCCTCGCCAGGGCGGGGTCTCCGACGGCTCGCTGCCCGGGGCAGGAGCACTGCCAGCCCGGAGTCCGCTCCGGGTCTTGAGAACAACCGCGAGCCGCTCCCGCCTACCTGAGCTGGCGGGGGCGGCGGCTCCTTCTCCGCCTGCGGCGAGGGCTTCCACGCCAGGCCCATTTCCTCGGCGTCCACCTGCACGCCCCCTCGGCCAGGGGCTGGGTGAGGCACCAGCTGCTGAGTGAGCCCCTGTCTTGCCCGCCCTGAGCAAATGGGCTGACGGGATTGGTTCACAGCCCCGGTGACCTGCAGACTCTGTTCCCAGTGCTACCCAGGGGTCGCCCAAGGAGGCCACAGGGGTCCCAGCGCAGAGGGGGACTGCCGGGGTGGAAGGTGAACCTGGTAATTGGGGTCACTAGAGCTGCCTCTGAACCCCATAAGCTCTGTTCTCCTCAACACAGGCTCCCACTTACCTCCCTGGGCCTGGGCCTCCTGATGATCTGACGCCTTTGAGGGGGCATATGGTGAAGGGACATCAGGTCCCTGAAGAAAGCAAGCAGCAGAGGTCACAGTGGGGACTAAATAGGAAGGAGCCAAAGGTCATACAGGGGTCAAATATCAGAGACTCCAGCCTGGCTACTCCAGCTTCAGATTTAGGGCAGCCCTCGAGGCAGGGTTGGCAACTCCCTGCAGGACCAGTCAGGCCGGTACTTCCCACCCTCACATCCTGGGGCCTGCCCCTCCGGATGGGTCTGCCTGCTCCCAGGTTCTGGTGATGGGGGCAGTAGTACCTGAGTCTCTGGACTCGCCCAGTCCTGTCCCTTCTACCTTCCTTCCTTCCTTTCTTCTTTTTGGTACTGGGGATTGAACTCATCGAAGCTTGACCACTGACCTAAGTCCCCAGCCCTTTTTAAATTTTGAGACAATGTCTCACTAAATTGCTTAGAGCCTTGATAAGTTGCTAAGACTGGCCTCAAACTTGCAATCTTCCTGCCTCAGCCTCCTGTGTCTCTGAGATTACAGGTGTGTGCCACTGGGCCTGGCTGTGCCACCCATTGCTAATAGCCGGTCCATACCATTTTACCAAGGAAGATGCTGAGACCCAGAGCAGGGAAGGAGTGTGTCCAAGGTCTCCTGACTTGGGGGCTTCTTCCCCAGCACACTTGCCTCCCCTCTTAGGCACTGTGCACTATTATAATGCTCAGTCATTCCATGCTCACCTGTGTCTCACTGCGCCTCTCTGGAGGGACCTGTTCTATGGGGAGCCTAGGAGGAAGGAGAGGTGTTTTTCAGAAGGGATTGAGCAACTACCAGTCACTTCTCCTCTCTGTGACACCTCCTCACCTGAGTTCTGGCTCCTCTTCAGTCTCTTTCCCGGCAGCCTCAGCCTCCCCATCACTGCCCAGAGCCTGTTCTCCTGGGCCCAGGTGAGAAGTTCTGTGAGCTCCATTCTCATAAAGTCTGTGACCCACAGAGAGGCCCTCTGAGATGCCCACCCACCTCCCACAGGCCATGGAGGGGCAGTGCCCACCCAAAGACACACAGTATTAGAGGAAATCTGGACTGGAGCCCAAGGGGCCTCTCTGTCCACATACAGCCTGGACTGCAGAAGGCAGGACCCCCTCTCACCCCTGGAGCTCTTCTTCCTGCGAATAGAGGCTCGGACAAGGTCAGAGCCGAAGTGGGCATGGTGGTGCCGCTGGGAGCGTGCTTCCTGGAACCAGTCACCTGTCAGGATCTTCAGCTGCTCAGGGTCTGCCAGTGAGGCCCGGAGTTTGCTGGAGGATAGGAGAGGGCGTTTTTCAGAAGGAGCCAACCTTTCTGCCTTCCACTCTGTAGCAGCTCTTTACCAGGGACCAGGGACTCAACAGCAAATCAGACTTGACCCCTGCTCTGGAGGAGCTCAGGCCTCTGGGGAAACCAAATCCAGACTAGACAAGTACAATATGGTGAGGTAGATGCAGTGATAAATGTAAGAAGAGTCTCCTCTCTGTGACCAGCTCTCTCAGGAGGATTTCCCAGCAGAGGTGACATTTGAATTCCTTCTTTTTTTTTAATATATATTTTTTAGTTGTTGATAGACCTTTATTTTGTTTATTAATATGTGGAGATGAAAATCAAACCCAGTGCCTCACACATGCCAGGCAAGTGCGCTACCACTGAGCCCCAGCCCCAGCCCTTGAATTCCTTCTTAAAGGACAAATTGGAGTTCTCTGGGTAGAGAAGGGTAGTAACTGTTATTCATTAAGTGGTCACTGCGGACCATACTTGCATATTTTTTTCTAAGAGAAGACTCCATAGCCCCATTTTACAGATGAGGAGACTGGTGCTCAGGGTCAGGTAAGTTACCCAAGGTTACATATCTAGGAAGTATCTCTCCTCAAACACTTGTCACTCCCATGCTCCTCTGCCACTGTGCTCTTCTGAAGAAGCCACATAGCTTAGACTTGGAGAAGCAGGGTGTTGTCAGGGTCTGGGGAACACCTGCACTTCTGCAGAGGATACTGTGTATTTGTGTCAGGTGGGACTTATGGGGAAAGATGGGATGGGGGAGGCTGGCAAGGGTCAATTGGAGAGGCCTCATGGTCTATGCTTAGGAGGTTGTATTTGACCGGAGGTGCTAGGGGCCAGGGGCGTTTGCAAGAGGTTATTAAGGATAGGAGCTTCAGCTCAAGGTGGGTGGCTGGAAGAGGCACTTCTGGAGGCAGGAAGGCTGGTGAGGGGGCTGGTTCAGCTACTCTGGGAGAGGTGATGGTCCCTGAGCTGGCCAAGGGCAGAGGGAACCAAAGGGCAACACAAAGAGTGGCTTAGACATCTGATGGCAGCATGCAGGTAGGGAGCAGAGTTGGGGCTATGAGAGCCTCTAAGTGCCTGAGGCCCCTTCCTCCTGGCTGGTGGCTGCCCCTGCCTCACCTGACCCGCCCCTCCTCCAGCTGGCGCAGGTGGGCATCTCGTTTGAGGACTTCAGCAATGGTCTCCTGTTCCTCCTCTGTCAGGAAGCTGAGGTCCAAAAGTCCCTCGGCTTCAGGCTCTGGTCCATGCGCCATGGGAGAGAGGGTAGAGCCTGAAGCCTCTCCTGAGAAGGGTGGCCCACTGGGGCATCGGCTGGGGCTGCACCCCAGCTGGGCTCACGTGGCTTCCTAGGGGCAGATCAAGGTTAAGATCAACCTCTGTCCAAATCCATAGCATATCCTGGAACTAACTGCCCTTTTCTCTCCAAATATATGCCCAGGCAGTATGTACAATCCCAGGAAGGCTGGGGTCAAGGTGACTTGAGGGGTGTTCATGACCATGAAAACAGACACACTCAAAGGAGTGTGTGGAGACACATGTACACACCTCTAGAGGTAGAGAACCACAGAGGTCACACACACACACACACACACACACACACACACTGATCCATGTGGGCACAGATATCTAGTCACACATGCACATTGATAGCTGATAACAACAGGCACACACACACCTATTCCCCCATGAAGGGACTTGTGTAGGCACAGACACAGACCTGTGCCTGAGAACTGTGCAACACACATTCCTAACCCTGCACAAAGCATGTGCACACAGATGGAGACTGGGGCCCACCCAGACGGGTTCATCTATACAAGAATGAGTCCGGGAATGAATATATGACCTTAGATGTCCACAAAATCTCATGGACTTTTGTCCATACACATCACCCATCTAACTAGGCTGTGAGTTCCTTGAAGCTAGGGGCAGACCATGCCCCTCAAAGCCAGTACTTTGCATACAACGGGCAGCTGATAAGTGTTTGCTAATTAAATGTAAAAATACACCTGCCCACTTAGGAATGCATGTGTGCACTTACACACACACACACACAGATGCAAGTATACACACCTGCTTGTCCCCCTGCTTGGGGAACCTCCCAACCTGGGTCTGCTCCCCCACCATTCACCTCCACCCTGCCCTGGCCCATTTGGCCTTCCTGTCTGAGGCAACCTCCTCCCCAGCCTACACCCCTAACTTCCTCCCCGCGAGGTAACCGCAGCACCCACTCCCACTGAGGCCACCATCCCAGGGATGCCCCTGCCGCTAGCCCTGCCCTTTTGTCCAGAGTCCCTGGGCCCCTCTGTTTGGGCCTCATGGCTCCCCCAACTCCCACCCCAGGATCTGGCCAGAGGCCTAGGCTGGCAAAGCAGCTCATGCCCAGGCACCACTGTGACTCCGGAAGGAAAACATTTGCCTAGCTGAGGGGCATGTGGACATGGCAAGGGGCCCAAGACTCAGTCACGGTCATGGCCTGAACCCACAGGGTGGTTTCTCCTCTCCTCCCCACCCATTCCATGCCAGGGCTCCAGGTGGGGCTGAGATGTTGAAGAGGGCGGCTCAGAGGCAGGTCCTGGCTTGTGCCCGACACCTCCTGCACCCTGTCCCCTCCCAAGTGAGTCAGTGTCCAAGTGGAGCAACGCTCTCCCCTTGATGCCCACCTGGGGAGCCTGGGGTTTCTGCATATCTGTGTCCTCAATAGTGACAGTTTTCCTGAACTTCTACTGTACCCAAGCTGTTGGCTGCTGCTCATGAGCCCTTCCATCTCTGTGTCTCACTGTGGAGCTGTGCAGTCTGGCGTGGTGGCCAAGTCTGTGTGCTGTGGGGTCTATGTGTGTGTCTGTGTGTCACGTTGCCGCATGATACCACATGGCTGGCTAGATTGTCTGGTGTGTTCAGTGACTTTCTGGGTGACAGTGCTGTGTGGGTGTGTGCACTCTGCATTTCCTCCTGTGCTGTCTTCAAGACCCAGCTGTGTTATGTGTACTCTGGTGGCCCAGAGCCACCAGGTGTGTGTCTGAGTGTGAAGGTGGGAGATATTTAGCAGAACTGAGTCTGTCCTTGTCCCACAGGTTTGCTGGGCTGGGCCATGGGCATCCAAGCCCATTTTGTCCTCTTTCCTGAAGTCCCCTCTCCTTCCAGAATCAAATCAAATACATGGTCCTCCCTGCTGTTTCAACCCTATGGGACAGACCCATTGGTCCGTCTGCCTGGCCAGGCCAGTCCCAGACTTGCTCTTGCCTCCCCCACCCTCAAGATCCCAAGGTGCCAGAGGGTGCCCAGGTGGCAGTGCCTGCCCCTTAGGATACTGCAGGGCTCCAGCACCGAGGTGTGTTACCTGTCGGGGTCCAACACAGGAGGACACCTTCCTGGGTGACTCTGGCTCCCCTGGCAGCAGAGTTTCAGGGACCAGAAGAGCAGTACAGGGACTAAGGCTGACTTGCCCAGCCAAGCAGCTGCCCCAGCCAGAGGGGTGGGGGGAGGAGGAGGAGACACCTCAGCAGGGCCTGGTGCAAAACCGGGCCTGGACTACCGGCTCCTGGGTGTGCCTGCCATGAGTTTGAGAACCCAGAGCCGGTTTGGTGGGCCTGCCAAGCCTGGGACTTTAGCACCAGCTCCATGGTAGATTCACCTGGTAACTCAAGGAGGCCCTGGCCCCAGCAGACTTGACTGACCTGTCTTACTAATGGGTAGCAACCCACCTTGCCCACAGAGGAGCTGATTGGAAATTACTTTGAAAGCAATGTTAGCCACTTTTCTAAGAATCAGAGGTAATGGAAGGATTGCAGACTTTGAAGTTAGACGATCTTTAGCAGAGTCCCTGCTCTGCTACTGTGTGATCTTCAGCAGGTCTCTTAACCTCTCTGAGCTGCAATTTCCTCCTATGCAAATTAGATAGCAGCATGCAAGGAGCCTACTATAAAAGAAATTAAAGGGTCTGGTACAAACAGGCATGTAGTAGGTGCCAGGCATCAACAGTCCGATGCCTATGACCTCTCTTGTGTTTTTTGTTGTTTTTGGTAGCAGGGTTTGAACCTAGGGGCACTTAACCACTGAGCTACATCCCCAGCCCTTTTTCATATTTTATTTAGAGACAGGGTCTCGCTAAGTTGATTAGGGCCTCACTAAGTTGCTGAGGCTGGCTTTGAACTCATGATCCTCCTGTTTCAGCCTCCTGAGCCGCTGGGATTACAGGTATTCACCACCATGCCTAGCTTGACCTCCTCATCTAAAGCCCCCTTCCAAGTTCCCATTTCTGTAAGTCGCTCCCACCACCCTCAGGATCACCCTGGCCCCCAATTCTCCTACATCACCAGAGGCTGCCCCTGTCATTCCAGGCACTGTCCCCTCCTGGCTAGTCTCTTTCTTTCTTCCTGCTGTCCTGGCCTCAGCCCCTGCTCAGTCTTTTCTTTTTCTTTAGGAAAAAAAAAAAAAACCACAGACACACACACATTTAGTTGTAGATGGACACAATATCTTTATTTTTATGTGATGCTGAAGATCAAACCCAGTCCCTCACATGTGCTAGGCAAAAACTCCACCACTGAGCTACAACCCGACCCACCGCCTCAGCCTTTTCTGGGAGCCGCCTCCTCTGGTCTCCATGCAGCCCCACCTGGCCTTCCTCCCCTTTATTGCCCAACTGTCACAGGTCCTTTGTGAACATACTTTTGTCATTCCTTAGGTTTGGAAGGTGCCAGTAGCCATCACCAGTCCAGCCTCCTTTGGCACTTTTGCTGACCGAAGTCTCCCTGCCTTCCAAGATAGACTGCCCTCCATTGTGGGCTGTCCAACCCCTCTCAGCGTGACCCTCAGGATTACCATGGTAAATCTGGCTCTGTTCTGTCACACATACCCTTAGAACCTTAGATTCTTCTTCCTGTCCTTCCAACACCTCTGGTCCTTTTGTGTTCCCTGCCCAGCTGCTAAAGTCTCTGGCAGCCATCCCTGACCCCCCATGACTATCTCTGCCCTCTGGCTGGTCTCCAGGCAATGCCCCAAGGAAGAGGCAGTGTCCTAGAGGCCAGCAGATCTGGGCTCTACCGCCAGCCTTGCTTTCATTGCAGAGGACAAGAGCAGCCATCTTACAGGACTGTTGTGAGGAGTGCTTCCAATTCCAGCTCCTACTCTTCCCTCTTTTTGGTCACAGCACTCGCCTCCAGAGAAACAGCCTCTCCCCACTTTCACTCCTTGGGCTCTAGCTAATGTACCTTCCCGGGTGGTTTGGGGGGTGGGGAAGCTCTAGAGCCAGGCTGCTGGGTTTAAACCATGGTTCCTCTTTCTACCTCCAAAACCTTGACCATGTCCCTTTACTTTTCTGTGCTTGTTTTTTTCATCTGTAAAATGGTGATGACAGCACCCATCCTATAGGGGTGTTGTGAGGATAAATAACACAGTACTTCATTTCAAGGCCTAGCATGTAGAAAGCTCTCATTAACTGGTTTGTGTGTGTGTGTTCATGTGTGGTGCTGGGATGGAACCCCAGGCCTCACACGTGCCAGGCAGGCACTCTACCACTGAGCTAGCCTCCAGCAGAGCCTGTGATGATTTTTATGGCTCCCGTTTATATCCTGTCTCCCCAAGGGAAATTCTAGTTTTTGCTGGGCTGAATGGAGCAGGCCTCAAAATTTTTTCTTGTTCTTTTGTTTTTGGTACTGGGGATCAAACCCAGGGGTTGCCACTGAGCCACATCCCCAGACCCTTTTTTAAATTTTAAGGCAGGATCTTGAACTTGTGATCCTGCCTTAGCTTCTTCAGTTGCTAGGTTACAGGCGAACACCTTCATGCACAGCCTGTCTATTGTGCTATGGCTGTCCTCAGTATCTTTTTTCTTGTCCCCAATCAACTCTCAGATGGACCCCAATGTGCAAGATCCAGGCTTGGAACCACAATACTGCTGGGTCTGGAGTGAGCTGGCTGTCACTGACCCAGGGCCTTGGGGCCAGCAGCTAGTGCCTGTCCTCAAGGTGCCCTCTGGATTAGCACAAAGGACCCTCAAAATGCTAACCACTCTCTCTTCATCTGAAGTGACATAGCTCAGCCTGCTGAGGAGGCAGTTTCATTTTGCTTTTTGAGGTGCTGGGGATGAAACCCAGGCCTCACACATGCTGGACAACTGCTTTACCACTGAGCAATACCCCCAGTTCTGAAGGCAGTTTTTAAGCTGGGCTTTCTCAACAGGTTTCAGAAAGTAAAGGACCAAAGCTGGGTGAGCGCTGCAGGGTGTGGAGAGCACAGAAGCTGAAGGGCAGCAGCAAGAGATTGGGGGGCGGTAATAAGGAGAGGCCAGGGACATGAACATGGAGGTCAGCACAAGAAGTCCAGCAATCTGACAGATGGATATGGCTGGCCAATTCTCTTAGCTTACTCCAAACTGGGCACTCCTGATTGAGGGGCAGCCCTAGGGCTCTGGTCTACCCACTGAAAATCCTGCTCAGTTTTAACACCAATCCTTCTGCAAAGCTCTTCCCAACAAAGAATCTGGGAGGGGTTTCAATACTCACTTGCTTCCAGGAGAGAGCTTGGAATGATGGTCCCAGAATGTGGGGAATTCCCATAACCTGGAGATCACTGAGGGATGCTGATGTCCCTGTGAGCTCCAGGCACTGAACACAGACTTAGCTGTGACACTGGCAACTAGATCTCTTGCCAGGGGTAGAGATACCCAAGGACACAAAGAATATAACAAGGTGAAGAGTGAGGGGGCTGCAGAGAGGGAGAAAACAAGGACAGGTACCACCTCAACTCAAAACTTTTTATTATCCTGCTAGGGAGCCCCTCACAAAGGAGCCCATGGAGCAGTGGGGTGAGGTGGCAGCACAGGGCCTTTTCTGATAGCTTTAAGTGGGGAGCTGTAGTCAGATAGGAGGAAACAGCCTGTCTCCTGCTACCTGACGGCACTAACTTTGGCCCCAAGGGGACAAAGAGTGGGTCTACACCATCTGGTATACAGAGCCACTCTGCACATGTCAGCTTCACTCACCTTACCAGCCAGGCCCCAAACTGCAGGGGAGATGGGCCCAAGTGCTGGGAGGTCCTGGAAAGGGGGAAGAGGAGGCTGCATGGGTTGGAGGGCACCAGCAGATGGGCAGAGCATCCCGGTGCAGCTTCTGGCAGATATCTAAAAGAAGGACCTATCCAGCCTTCTGGAACATTCTAGAGGCCAAAGGGGAAGGCTCCAGGGTAGTAGTACACCCTATCCCACCTCAGAACCAGAGCTACTGGGCAGAGGGCAGGTTCCTAATCCACCTCTGGTCAGGGTGCTGCCTTGTCTGGTGGGTTCTTGTCCACAGTGGGCACTGGGCTGTGGCAAAAAGAGCTCTAGAGCAGGCAGGGTCTTCCCAACAGGGGGATAAGAGAGTGCTTCAAGGGCAGGGTCACAAGCCCAGGGGAAGGGGGCAGGGAGCTTCTGAGTAGCCAGTGAGATACAACAAGCAGAGAGCCCTGCCCTACACTCATTCTCAGACCCTTCATCCCACCCTCCTAGTCCCCAAGTCCAACAGAGCAGGCTACCCCTGCCTTTGGGGGTGAGGAGAAAGAATCTGGGACCATAAGGGGCTTCTTCCATGGAAGCCTGGTGGGCTTGAGGCTGTGTGGCAGCTATCACCGCAGGTTGAAGACCAGGCTGACGGTCAGGATGATGCCCAGGAGGAGGACGAAGGGCAGCCAGGTCTTCACGAAGGCTCCGATGCTGACAGAGAGGGAGAAGAGCAAGGGTGGGCAGGAGCAGATGACAGGCATGTGGCCCTGAGCCCCATCTAATTACAACCCTGACAGCACTGCCCCTGCTAAGGAGTCCCTGGAACTACTTCCCATTCCCAAACTCAATTAAGGAATGGAACCTGGCTAGTGCCCACTTTTGAGGACCACCAGATCCGGGTGGAGATCAGACTCTGCTGGAAAAGGGGGTGTGCTGCCTCTGGGTCTCACTGGCTCCACCCATAATCACTTATCTCTGAGAAGAGGGCACCAGCAAGGAGACCAGGAATTTAAGTTTGGGTGTGAAAGCCATGAGTGGCCTCTGCTGTGGCCTTCATGATGGAGCTCACTGGGGGTAGGGGATTGGTGAGTGTTGGCACAGTGCTATGGCTGGAGCCGAGGGCTGGGAGTCAGGGACTTGGGGCCAGCTCTGGCTCTGCCTCAATCTCTCTGTGACCACAGTTATGTTCTTCTCACGGCACCTTTAAATACCTTCCAGGCTGGAAAATGAAGACCCTGGAGAGTCTTCTTTCCAAGAAACTTTTTTTTTTTTCCTGGTGGTACTAGGAATTGAACCTAGAGCTTGAATATGCTAGGCAAGAGTGCTACCACTGAGCCATATCCCCAGCCATTTTTATTTTTTGAAGCAGGGTCTTGTAAAGTTGCTGACACCAGCCTCAAACTTTCAATCGTCCTGCCTCAGCCTCCTGAGGTACTGGCACTACAGGAGTGTATCAGTACACCCAACCAAAAGTTTTGTTTTTTTTAATTTTTTTTTTAGTTATACATGGACACAGTATCTTTATTTTGTTTATTTATTTTTATGCGGTGCTAAGGATCAAACCCAGTGCCTCACAGGTGCGAGGCAAGCGCTCTGCCACTGAGCCACAACCCCAGCCCCCAACCAAAAGCTCTTAATGATAAGCACAGCTAACAGGAAAGCTTGGAGGAGGGGCCCAGATTAGCTCAAGTGTGGGCTTTGCTGTGGGACTATGGGCAACTCACTCAACCTCTCTGAGCCCTATTTTTACTAAGAGCTGGCAATGAATGCCTTGGACCTCATAGGTCAGAAGACTGTGACTTCAAAGATCCCCCTAAGCTACCACTGGGTTCACTGCTCAAAACCTTGCCTCTCACAGGGAATTACAGGAAGGGATACTGTGGAGTAGTCACCAAACCATCCCATGAAGATCTACTTTCTTTGCCTGAGCATAGGTCTCTTAGACTTACATCCTCCCTGAGGAGCCAGAATCATTACTACCATCTTAGCAATGCCAACTGCAGTGCAGAGGCCGAGGCAACTACCCAAGGCCTCATAGCAAGTGACAACCAGGCTGGGGACCAAGGTGGAGCTGCATTTTGGCACAGTAACCTCCTTTTCCACCAGGAACTCAGCTAGTCACTCTGGAACTTCACGGCTCCAATTGGCATCTGCTCCAACTGTCCCTGCTGACTGAAGGACTCCAGACACAGCCTCACTGGGATCCTCTGGAGAGCAGCCCAGGGGAATGTACAGGTGGGAGGGCAGCTCACCTGACATACTTCCCATAAAGCAGGCAGAAGAAGCAGAGGGTCACCATGTTCCAGTTTGTGCTATTGTTGTAGCGCATCAGGTTCAGGGCCAGTGCGACATGTGAATGGCAGTTGTCACAGCAGAGATTGTGCTGCAAGAATAGGAAGGATTGGGGTCAGGATGAGCGAGGGTAAACTTCCCACCCTGGTCCCCATCTCAGGAGTGCTTGCTGTCCCAGCCACCTACCATGCGATGCTTGTACTCCTCAGAGGCGTCATGCACAGCTGTGTCCCAGGCATTGGGCCCGCTAGCATAAACCTGAGCAGGGTCCAACTTCCAGTACCTGAGGAAGAGAGGAGGTTCTTGGCACTGGATAGGCCCCCTTGAGGCCTCTCAGCTGTAGTGATGTTCCTTGAGACCTGCTCTGTGCTGGGTGCTGAGGCCAGATCTAGGCAAGAGTCATGCAGCAGATAATAACAGGGTGAGGTGCCATGTACCACAGTGGATCCTGGGAGGACATGAAGCCAGCTCAGTTGAGGGGTACTATGGTTTGGATGTTTGCCCCACCCACACCACTGATATGTTGAAATCCTAACCCCCAATGTGAAAATACTAGGAGGTGAGGCCTTTGGGAAGTGACTAGGTCATGGGGGTATAGTTCCCATGAATGGGGTTAACGCCCGTATGAGAGTGGCCTGAGAGAACCTTGCCCCTTCCACCATGTGAGAATATAGCAAGAAGGTGCTGCGGGCCCTCACCAGGCACTCGATCTACCAGAACCTTGACCTTAGCTTTCCCAGCCTCCAGAGATGTGAGAAATATATTTCTGTGGTTTGCCACCCACTAAATGGTATTTTGTCATGGCAACCTAATGGATGAAGAGAGGGGGAGTGATATGGTTTTCTGGAGGTGACATCTGAGTCTAGTCTAATGGAAGAGAAGTCAGCGAACACAGAAAAGGGAGGCAAGGCCCTGTAGACTAAGGGGAGGGCTTGAACAAAGTGAGAGGCAGAAAATTGCAGTGTGTCCCAAAAACTAAGTGACTAAGCACTACTCAAAGATTCAGAAAGAGAAACGGGGTGATGGAATGCTGGCAGGTGAGGCAGGAGATGCAACAGGGGCCATGTCATGCAGGGACTTGGATGTCACAATGAGGAGTTTACCCATAAGCAAGCATTCTCCCCATGTCTCCCCTTGTATGGCTTGTGGAGGAGCCTATACACAGTGCCATGGTGGCATTTGGGAGCTCCTATGGGAAAAGGAAGCCCTTAAAACTGTCTTTGAAAAAATAAAACAATAACAAACAAACAGTCTTCAAAAAGCAGCCTAGCAGCAAACACCAGCCCAGAGACTCCTGGACCATATTTCCACCTGCCTGAGGAAACCAGAGTCAGTCTGCCTCCAAATTGCCTCTGCTTTGTGCCCACCTCTCCTGGGCAGCCTTGGGTATCTGCTGTTCTTTTGAGGATACTGAGGACTGAGGCATTATCACTAGGCCTGGAGCTGTTGCAAGCACCCAAGATGAAAGAAATGAAGACCTAAAGCCCCCAACTAAACCAGTTTCTCTCCCTAAG